GAAACAACTTTTTCTACGCAGCTTTCGACATCATAACTATCTTAAAATACCCAATCCTTGGCTGCGAGGGTCTACATAAATCAACAAGAGGGGAAAGAAGCCCCGGTTCCAGTTGTAGTTGCAGTTTGCTCCTCTTGACTCTACTCCGCCTGTTCGCGCGGGCTTAAAGTGGCAGCACTTGTGTGTGAAATGTGCGAGTCGAAGGCGACAACGATGATGCAAGACGCAAAACGCAGTGGCGGAGTGGCGGAACAGGATGCAATGGCACATGGACATGGACAGAGACATGGACAGCGCCAAGGCAACGCGATACAGCCCCTCATCGGACCCCTTTCTTCGTTGTGTGTCCTTCAGCTTAACTGCAACTGACTGATGGGCGTGGCGACGCGGTGTGCAACAGTTAATCATTTTGGAGGGGGAGGCAACGGTCGACGGGGAGACAACATCTTAGGTGAGAAGGTCTTGGCAAAGAAGGGAGACGGAAGGTGCTATATTTAAGGTCGCCATTTATGGGAGTGGCACCTAGCAACGAATAGTGTCGGCAGTTTATGAATCAAAAAGTTACGGAAAAGAATTAAAGTTTAACTTGTACAGGTTTTATGATAGATTTGCAATTTAGAAATCATTATTAATTGTTTTTATCACTTTACAGAAGCCGAGATTATTTCTTAAAAAATTTAATATATTTTCCTAATAACAATTACACAGAAAATTTCACAAATTCAATGTTATTCGGGGGTTAATCAGACGTAGGAGTTATCAAGGCCCTTATTATTTTATTAGTTGCTCATGTTGTGTATATGCCACATGTGAGTGGGGTTTAACTCCAGCGTTTCCCTATTCTTGTAAGCCACCACCCCGCAGATGCACACACCCAAATCCCAACACGTGTCAATTGTGGCTCAGATTCGTTGGCTGTGTTTTCCCTTGCTTGCCGTTCCCCTGTCCCAGTGCTTTTGTTTTTGATTTTCGGCTGGGCATCAAACATAAGCTTCGGGTCATTAAATAAAAGCGAAGACCGATGCACAAACACACTGGCAGTCTGACAGGCAGGCAGGCAGGAGGAACACACGCTGTACATGTGTACATAAAAACGTAAGCAGTCAAAGGACCAAGGACTCGGATGAAAAGCCCCTTGTAAAAAGTATGAAGCGAATTATTTGCAAACAAAAGTGCGAGAAGGGGAAGTGATTTACTTTATCGATAGACATAAAACAATTTGGTTGCCTCTCAATGACAGTTCTCGTTCTTGCTCCTGTCTCGTCCTCGTCCTCGCTTGGCTCAGCATCCTTATCCTCCACATTCACATCCTTCCTTCCTGCTTTCCACCCCAACATCTGTCATTTGTATTAGTGCGAGTAGCGCCTCCTGAGTCACACACGATTCCGTATTCGATTTCTTTTGTTCGGTTTACTGGTTAAATTTTATAAGGTATAAAAATTACATGTGCCTTTTTCTGGCCCTGATCTTTCCACCAAGTCCTTGAGGAGCAAAAAAGCCCTAAAACTTTCGTCCTTTAATTTGTTCACTATACACTTGTACACGGGAAAAACACAGGTAAGAAAAACATATTTGACGAGAAAATAAAGAATAAATAAAACGAAACAGCTTAGAAGAAAATGTAGTTTAATCACAATAATTAAACTCCATCTATCTGAGGAATGGAATTTCGTGCTTCATTAGAATTTCACTCCTTACTCACTCACTTTTTTCTCCGTGCACCTCCTCGAATGTTTGTTTTCCTTTTTCTTTGCATCTCATTCTATTTTCCACCTTGTTCACTTTTGCATACAAAATGAAAGCAGGGCTACCCTGCACTTCCTTCCTGCCAACAAGCTCTCTCCCTCTCTAGGTGCTCTGTGTCCTAACTGTTGCTGATTTATGGTCTGCCATAAGGTGGGTTCGCCCCGGGGAGAGGCAAAGTGGAAAAAGGGGCCAAGGGATGTTGGATGACTGTTTAGTTTAGTTTGCATGTTGCTGCTCCTCCGTTACGCCCGCCCGCCCCTTAGCTTTACGTTCGGTGCCTGCCTTTGTAGCATTAAAATGACATAATAAAATGTATAATTTCGACATAAAAAGTAAAATCCCCAGAGAGATTTCCTTGGGCCCAATTCGTCGTCTCCTATCTCGCACTCTTTTACCCGCTCCCGCACACACATATCGCACTTTGATTGCCGTCTATATGTGTAGCATATCAATTAGGTGTGTGGGTCAATAGTGCAAGTGGGCCAATGATGGAGAGGTGAAAGGTCGGCCGCAAGGCAGCCCAATCATGGGGAGGCCTCAATGCCAAAACAGAATCATCTTCTTCCTTATTTAAGGAGGTTATTTGAATCATCCGTTTGATGCAGATGCAAATGCGGAATGCAGATGCGAGTGCTTTCAAAAATGTCGTAGAAACGTTTAAAATATTATACAAGTTTATTTTATTTGTTAACATTATTAGTATTGGTTGATATCTAGGCACAAACTAAAGGTATTTAATGTACTAATCGTCCTGGTAGATGGACGACACATATATTTCTATTTAATCTTTTCTCAAAACCTTTACGTATAGTAAAAGTAAAATTATAATACATTTATCTTTCCAGTTCACTTGAAAATTAGTTACGGAATGACAACTCAATAGTTCGAATTATATCACCTTCAAATCGTGTGCATAAACCATTTCCCTGCTGCTCCATCAACCAATGCGCATAAGTGGGCTTCTTGAGCAGACTATCCGGTGTGTGTAGGCTTATTCCGCTCCTTGGCAGCCACTTGGCTATTCATAACTAACACACACATATACATAGTCAGACAAATTTTAATAATTCAACTCTATAATGTGGACGCAATGGAGGAAATTCGCTTTTTGGCCAATGCCAAAGGCGGGGAATGTAATGGAAAGTCGCCCAAAATGGGGGCGACCGAAATGCAATAGAATGTGGTGGGGTTTTTTCATGGTGGCTGGGGTGTTTGGGTTGCCTAGTGTAGAAGAGCTGAGCTGGGAACCCACAAAAACCGAAAACTTGTGCGCGTGTGTGTTTGGGTGCCACATAGGGCACGGGCTCGGCACATTTTCTGGTGCAAGGTGGGAAAACCCAGAAGGGTGGAGGCCAGAGTGCAACAAAAAGAAGAGGGATGAGAAGCAGGATGGCGGCCGCCGCCGCCGCCGTCAGTGGTGCAGGGGCAAACCGCGCTCTAGACACACATTAAAATTTCAATTTTGGAGAAATTAAAATTTTATCAGTTTGCTGAGTGTGTCGCACACACCGACTGGCTGCGCTAGTGCTCCTAGTCTCGTTCCCTAACCCACATTTTCCCAACCAATATCCTCCTGGTTGGCACACACGCACAAGCGGACCGACAAAAAGTCATAAAATGACCAAGGACTCAAACCCACATCAGGTGGTGCCATCAAATCGTATGTATGTATGTATATGCTTTGAGTTTATATGTAATTTAGATCAGACCATATTACCAAATAAAGTTTCGTAGGGATACATATATTTTTGTCAACAAAGAGTATTAAAAATTCCCCAAATTCCTCTAGCAGGCTAAAGAACCTACTTATAAATGTGACGATTGTATACATTTTGTGTTAATACTGTTAATTATAAAAACTATTGCTACAAAGTCAAACCCATAAAAAAAAGGGATTTCAAGAGATTTCTTTGCTAAAAAAAAATCCCATTACTGTTATGTAAACGCATCTCCCGGCTCATTCCAAGATTTCCAGCCTGTAAGATATTTTTTTCTGGGCAGAAAATGAAAGCTTAAGAGTTTTAGGGGCCATTGTAAGCCCAACTTAAAACCCTCGCACCCTTTGCCACGACGGAAGTGGTCTAAAGAAATCTGTTATGGTTAAACTTTCGAATGAACAAAAAATAAAACCAAGTTTTCGACAAATTGCAGCGAAAAGTGCACAATGGGTTAGCCATGGGGAAACAGTGCGTGGCGACGCCGGCAAAATGTACAACAAAAACCGAAACACGAAGAAAAAGCGCGAAGGAAACAAGAAAGAATGGTGCTGCGGAATTTTTCCACCACTAGATACCCTTCTTAAATCCAATTAAATCAAAGTTTTTCGTACAAATTGTAATGGAAAAACATATACTCTTTATGCTATCAAAATACCAAATTATCTTTATGAATATTAAACAGATCAAACTGTGAGAAAACCATTTAAATCAGTTTTTTACTAAATACCAAAACTCTTGCAAGCTATGCTTCTTTTTAGATAAGCCATGATAATAGAGAAAATCCAATATACCCCTTGCACTCTCTCCCAGAACCCAGAACCGGGTATTAAAAAAAAAAACTTGGATTTTTCTACTTTGCTCAAGGTGGGACCACAGACGACCAGAGGGGCAGGTTGAGAGGTATTGAGAAGACCATCGTCTGTTGGGTGGAAGAGCAGGCCAAGGAAAATCCAAGCAAAACTTGGCAGCGCTCTCTCGCTCTGTTTATTGCATGGCGCTAAAAGCAACTGGGGACCGTTTTTTCTTCTCAGTTTTCTTGGTTTTTTTTTTATATATTGTGGGACTGCCGCGTCTTTATACGTATCTATTATGTGGATGTGCATGTGCTGGTTTGTTTGTTTGCTACCCTCTGTGTGTATGTGTGTGGGCGTACAAGTTTCAATTATACATTTTAGTGGCCGCCGCAGCTCATTGACAATAAAAAATGAGAAAATGAGGAAAGGAGCCGGAAAGAAAAGGGTTGCAGAAATGAGAAAAGTTTTAGGGGATCCGATTTGATGTCGTGTGCGTAGCAAGTAGGTCTATTGTGATTTGGGTTTAACCAGGGAAATGTCCAGAGATTATATTTGCACTTGGAATTTAATCGGCCTATTTATGGGTTACCTTAGACTTGAAATTGTTATATATTTTTCATTCTTTATTACTAGAGTTTACTTAATAAAAGAACTTGATCTCTAGATTATAATTATAATCTCTTTGTTTTATAATATTATATATTTGTGAATAAAATAAAACAAAATGTTAATCTCGACTCACCGTGGCTTAGGAAGTTTTTTCATATGCATATCCATATCGGGTTCCAATCGCTGCTGTTGCTGCAGTTGTCGGTTGTTTCATGGAGCGGAGTCCAGCTCGCCCTCGATGGGCGTCGTTTGTTAGTCCAAGGATTTGTTGATGGGAAAGCAGAGTATCCTTTTCCCTTTCCCACCTGATCTCCTGCTCCTTGAGGAGATGCTAACTTTAGTTTTTGTGAGATGCTAAAGTTGGCGATGTTTCTTGGGCACCGCATTAGTTGTGGTGTTTTTGTTGTTGTTAATTTTTTGTTGCTATTGGCAGGCTACTAGCTTTGATTTAATTTGAATTGTAACAATTTTAACAATTTTTAATTCATTTTTATTATTGATAATATTGCTCGATTCGCTGTGTAGTTTGAGGTTGTTGTTGTTTTACATTGTTTTTGTTTGGTTGTGTAGGGTGTTGTTGTTGTTGTTTTGTTATTAATTAAGCACTTGGGGCGCATTTATAAAATTTTTTTATTTCATTTTTAAACCTATGAATAGTAGGATAAATTGATTTTAATATTTGAAATCTTTATAATTCTTTAATATTATATTTGTAATTTGCACTTCTTTTTTTAATTTTTCTTCAATATTTGTTTATTGTTCATACGCATCTCTATTACCGATAAAGTAAATTTCTTAAAGTAATTGCATTGGTTGGTTTTAAGCTGCTAACTTTGAGGATTGTAAAAATTGTTTGTATTTTTATTTGTTATGTGGATGTATGAAATATATATATGTTTTTAATGTATATATATATTAGGGTAGCCGTAATATCGATTAGCCACGTATAGATCTGCATTAAGGTTTGATTGCACCGTTAGAATATAACGCACTTTTTCCACGATTATATATCGTTCTTCTTTCATTCTCTCATTTGTTTCTACATTATCTAAGCGTTGTATATATGTTTAAGTGCTATGGCTATGTATATGCATGTATATAATGCGTGTATATATAATAACTATTGGAAGGCGTATTTTATAGGCTTGCTAAGTTCTGCTCAAAATTTTTACGCGTCTATTTTTTTTTATATTTATTTATTTTGTTTGTTTTTTTTTTAATAAAGCTAATGGCTACTATTTCTTTAATGCAATGGGTAATCAACTTTATTCTTTATTAAATGTTTAACGTTTTTACTTCTGTTGATTTATTTTCGGTTTAGTTTTATTATTGCTTGTATCTGAGGCGATTTTATTTATAAAGTTAGCTGCGAATAAGAAGAATGTCTTAATTTAAATCCATTTGATAATTAACAACAATAACAAATGTGTACAAAAGTTCACCATGTAAGATCGCCGCACTGTTTAACAAGTAGTAACTTCAAAAATAATTTCCATTTAAAAAGGGAGTTTAAATTAAAAAGAGAGTTTCGATTAACCCACTTTAAATGTCCCCCGATGACATAAACTCCTGTTCTCAGACGCCACAAAAAAACCACACGCAAGGACATACATACATACATATGTACAGATGTATATACATATATATAAACTTATGCCATGCACAGATATTCGCTCGCGCTCTCCCATTTCGTGTTCTCTCTTTCGCTCCACCAACAACAGCTGTTGATCGCAATTGCAGCAGACACACATACATACGTGTGTACGTACATTGCAGGCATAGAACATGTTGATGGAAGAACAGCAGGTGTTAAATATAAAATCAAAAATGTAGCGTACATAATATCATAAAGACGCCAGATGAACGAGAAAATTATCGCGATGTATCTGATTGTGCGCTTTTCTGGTGATTGCTTTTGCTGTTGCCTTTTATTTCACATTCATTCATTAGTCGCTGTGGTTGTTTTTGTTATTGTAACGGCAAGGCAAAGGGCAACGCACCTTTTCCTTTGCTTTTGACTTTTGCTTTTGCCTAACAACAACTAAAAACGACAGCGGCAGCAACAACAATAAGAAGACGGCAGGCAGTTCCGTTAGCCGAGGCGAAGAGCAGAAAGCGAACGGCGAGAGAGTGAGCGTGCCAAAGCGAACGTGCGGCCAGAGCGAGAGAGGTAGAAAGAGAGAGCGAGAGAGAAACATAATCACACGGTCCAGGTCCAAGTGCCGTTTGAAAAATTGACAATAAAAGAAAAAAACACAAAAATGTTCCGAAGTCAATGCGCATTTCACTTTTTTCGCTCGCCTCTTGCTAGTCTCTTCTGTTCCGTTTTCGAGTTGCTCGTATTGTTGTTGTTCCTGGTATTGAAATGCGAAAGCGAAAATTGTTGTTGTGTTTGATCTGTTGATTTCTATTCCATTTTTGATTTGCATTGAAACTTTGCAAGCGAATTAAAAATAAACCAGTGGCGAGAGCGAGACAGAGTGTGCGAGCGAACGAGCGGTCGTGTGGGGAGACGAAAGAGGAAGGCCTCTTGATTTCGTTTTATAAATATTTTAATCAAACTTCCATCGCACTCTTCACTGCTAAACTTACGTTTTCAACTTTTTTATATTACATTTGATTTAGATTTGGCTTTAGCATTTGCTCTTTTTACTTTTGCTTTGCTCTTGCCTTTGCATTGCTTTTGACTATGAACTTTGCACACAGAACAAACATCGATTAAGCACACTTCTCACCATATCATTATATTGTAAGCACTCTTATTGGAATTTGATTGCAGATACTCTTTATGGCGAAAATTACACGATTTTTTCGGCTGGTGCCATTTGGGTATGCAATATTCCTTTTTTACATATTTTCTTGGCTATTTTCGCTTTTACATTTTTCACACGTCGCGACGGCGGCAGCGGCGATTGTGTTTGCGATGCGACCGCTGCGAAATCCAAAACAGAGTGACAAAACAAACGCCGATAACTGAGATGGCGAGAGAGCGGCGAAACTGAACTCCCCCCGATAACTGAGCGAGCGAGAGACAGCAAGAGCGGCGAAGCAATTGACGGAGCGAGTGAGAGGGCATGCGCAGTGAGTGTGAGTGAGCGAGCGGCATTTGAACGGGGCTGTTTAACAGCGCATCCGAAATTAACAGAGCCAAAGATCGTCTTTTACATAGGCATGTTAATTGGTTATGAAAATATATAAGTACACCTTTTTTTTTTTTTCGAATTATCCAATACAATTCTTGAGCAAACTAAACAAAGAGAATATGTCTCTCCCCCCCAAAAAAAAGTGTGAATGAATTTTGAGAGAGAGCATTAAAGGGAGCGTGAATCTATGTTCTCTTTTATGGCCACTGCTATGTTGTCGCCAGTTTAATATTAGTGTTGCCAATACATTGGAATTCGAAACCGTGCGAACAACAAAAGGAAAAGCGCTCTGTCTTATTATTAAGCAGCAGGGGGCTTCAATATCTCTCCATTTTTATTGTAGTTTTTTGATAAGATGATGGCCAATAATTGTTATTCTTTCAAGTTCGGAAAAAATGTTAAATTGTTTGTGAGCGAAAAACGCTAACTTATGCTGTTAAGCACTAAATTGTGCTTCCATGCCCATGGACACACAACAAATGCACTAATTCAAAAACAGCTGTTATATTATTTTCAGTTGGCTATCTGAAATCAGCTGCAATTTTTCCAAACCGAAAAACACTACAATAATGTATGTATGCTCTCACATAATCACGATAGATGACAAAGTGTTCTTAGCATGGGCTTCTTTATCTGTCTGGGAAGAGAAAAGAAATCAGCCCCTTATTTCTTGTGATCGCAAATTATGGATTTTATCTTGGAGGCAGTTTCATGTATTATAAGTTGAAAACTTGTATAGTTTTTATAAAAATGGAATACAGTGGAATTCATGTACCAATTATATTATTTGTATTTACTTTTCGCCGACGGCACAGTCTTGATTGAGCCCGGTATTAGTCCGAATAGTATACAAAAAGAACACGCAAAGACAAATGGAGATAATTATCCATTTAGTCTTAATTGGAATTTTACTGAGGCTTTGAAAACTAATTAGCCTAACAATAAACCTGCAACTTTTAGGTATTTTTATACATACAATACATAAATACGCATTTCATAGAGTTATCTTCAAGTCAAATGGAAAAATCGTAATGGTTTAGCAATTCAAGCTAGATTAAAGAAGACCTTCCAACTACAAATATGAATTGCTTTTTACATCTACCCAGGGTACATTTTAGGCGATTACTGTGACGACTCGTGTCTGCATTATTTCATCAGTCACCGCGAATCGAAGAGCGACCGATTTTGCAGCGAACACAATACCCAATTGCCGATTTTTCATGCTGTTCCAATGGACTATTGGAATGTCGGCTTTCAAACAATTAACAATTGTTCTTATCAGAATTGCCTTGAGGTGTGTTTGCCCTCTCGCTCTTTTCCTCGCTGCGTTGCTCTCAGATTTGTCTTTTTTTCTTTTCAGCTCCAATCAAATAAATAACGAATTGAAGGGTGATAAGGCTGCGAATTTCTTTCTGGGTTCGGTGTTTCTATTTAATGCAAACACCTAAATAAAAGATAAAATACAAACTTGAACAAAAACAAAATCGAGCAAACCCAAACACACTCACACATACTTTCGCACACACGCACGCACACAGGGACAAAAAGAGCGCGCGCGAGAGAGCGTCCGTCTGGCATTTGACGTTTATTACTTGGCAATTGTTGTTGCTGCCTCTTGTGGGTGCCTCTTTTTTTCTGCCTTTGCGCGCGAATTCGCTGCGCATAGCAAATTAAAATTAAAATTTTGCGAGAGCCCACAAAGGCAAAAAAAGCATGGAAAAAATTCAAAATTAATTTATTTTCTTTTTCGACGGCGTGGCGGGCAAGAGATGGAGAGAGCCAAGTGTATGGAGAACGTCACAGAGAATGAGAGAGCGAAAGCGAGAGAGCAATGACGAACTTTTGACACATTTGCTATGTTCACATATTTTGTTTATAACAATTGGCCTGCTGACTTTGCATTTACCTGCTTTTCGTTTGCTTCAATCGTATGTCTGGTCGCTGCGACTGGTGACTGCAACTTAAATTGTTTCTTGTGTGCGAAACTCAGAAATGTTTAAACATTATTCAACACAAATACGCGCACTCACTCGCACGCACACACACAGTCACAATTTTCCTGTGTAGTAATAAGGCTGTAGTAATTTTTGTTGTTGTCGTGTGTTGGTGATAGAGCCTTGTAGTTGTTGTTTCGTTGGCGGCAAGTTGTCTTTGCTGTTGCTGCTGCCTCCAGCATTTTCAACGAATGCGGATTTCCGCTCTTCTTTTCTCACATCAAATAATTTTACTTTTATTGCTGTCTATTTGTGGTTTATTAGTATAAAAAAAACGAACGCGAACTGCAGTCAAAGTCACACACAAACACTCACACGCACGCACACACACAGCAACTAGTAATTCTGCTGTGCGAAAGAGACCACATTAGAGGCAGAGCGCTTACGAAAAAAAGGTTTGTGCAAGTTTCCCCAAAAGCGCTTCCTTTCGGAATATTCACTGCGCTCGCTTTCGGCGGTGCCGCGGTGGCCACTTTATCACTTAATTGGTTCCGTTTGCATTGTTTTTAATGGGTCTTTAAATTAAATTTAGTTGCGTGTTTTGTGTTGGTGCAGAGAGCGAGCACGAAAATACACATCGTTATCGATGGCTGGCCTATCGATATGAAAAACTATCGGCCAGCTGATTCCCCGAAGATCAGCTGTTTGCCTGACAGCTAGCCGATAGACGATAGTGGGTATAGTGCTGGAAAACGTAACGCTGTGGTATAATATTACTTCTAAAATAAATTGAATTTGTATAATTTATTTTAAAGAACTTAAAGTACTACCATCAACAAAATTTAAGATGTGACAAGACTATCAAGCAAGCCAAAACAACCCGGGGTATTACTGATACTCTCTATCAGTGTTGGAAAATATGACATGGGCACTTTCGACTTGTAAATAATTCTATTTCATGCAGTAAATCGATTACCTACTAAAATTTATGTTTTTACTCTCTCAGTTGTAGGTATTTAAGCACTCTTAAAATTTTCGAATTTATGCCAGTCCTGGAGTAAAGTTTCGAATTAGTAAGATATCCTAGAATCCCATTAAATATCCCCCCTATTTTTACAGATGGTGTCCCGGATCTTTAAAACCGCGGTAACAAAAAGTATTGTAGTTCTTGATTATGCTTTAAAATGCTCTGCGTATAAAACTTAAGCAATAAATAAAGTTTTTTATTTAAATTTCACAATGTTGATAAGAATTTCACTGTTTTTTGTGCGAAATTCGCAACGGCGATAACATTCTACAAACCGATTGCCCGATAGGCGCAAACAGCTGACAGGGCTACGGCATATAAGTGAGCGGGTGGTAAATAAATGTTTTTAGTTTATTTTAAGACGCCATTTGGTGCGCGTGGCGGTTACAGCTTGTTTTCGTTTTGTTCGCAGCATTTTTTATTTGTCGGTAGGCGCGCCGCCAAATTAGATCTAGATTCCTAGAGTTTAGTGCGTTCCAACTCGGCGATCACAGCGCGCAAACACATACCATCGAACGTAAACAAAATAGGCGCCGCGCCGCGTTTGCTAAATCGTCCGTCTATTTACATAATTAAGTACAAAGTAATACATCAGAAACAGCAACACCAACAACATGACGAACACCACCGATGTGCGGAAGAGAAAAGTAAGGCAAAGGTTAAGAACACTTAATAAAACAACATTTCTTTCGCCAATTTGCTCACACACACACGTGCATTCCTAAGGCGGAAGTTCAAAATCAAAGTGTTCGCACGCTAGTTCTCGATATAGTGGTGCCAATTTTAATTTTAAATTGTAGTTTACATGCCATTTAAATGTTTAAACTTGATGTGAGAGGGAGCAAGCAGGTTCCGCTTGATTAACTATAATTATGCAAATTTATTTTCCACACACGAAACAAGGTTTGTTTGTGCCAGGCAGCAGCACACAGCTGAAAATAATATTCATTTCTCTGCTTTGGCTGAGCCGGCCGGTTTATTTATTCTTTGTTTTAAATAAACCAGCGCCAGATGTCCAGGGTAGCCACGTTTTCCTTAGGTACTCTGCTTAATTGCAAGGTCATTGGGGGCTCTAAAAAAAAGGGGAACAAAAAACCCACATAAAAAGACCACACAAGCAATTAAGTTGGCAGCGGTTCCCGAATCTAGCTAGACGGCTTTTCAATTGCTTTCTCGCAGATACACACGAGCAGATACACCTACGCCGGTGAGATGCAGTGAATGCAGATGCAAGTAGACCAGACCAGGATGGTGGCGCGCAAGGAACCCGAACAGGTTGCCAGTGAGTGCAGACGTGGCCTTAACCCTGCTTGCGTGGCTCTTTTTTTTTTATCCGCTTATCCATTTGTCCGCTCAAAGGTCAATTTGTGGGAGAAGCATTAGTGAAACAGAATTTATATTTATTTATAATCTGCCTTGTTGCTCTTCTCTCATTGTGCTTCGAAATAGTTTAAAGTGCCCACCAACTTGAGCAATTTTAAAAACGGATTTCTTAGCAAATTTTCAAAAGTATTTTTTACAGAGAGGCTTAATATTTAAATGATTAAGTTATTATCTCTTCATTGCTTGCGGGTTTCTCTTTGTTGTATAATTATCACTCTGTTTCCACCATATACTGTGGCCTTAGCAACGGCTTCTCCTATCAATGTTAATGTATCTGACTAAATATATGTAAAAGCAAGTTCAATTTCTCAGGCCGGAGAACGAATAACTGAGTCTAGTTATTTTACCGAGTCGAAAAAGGCCAGGGGCTTTATCTGTCCGACAAAGCAAGTCGTTTCACACTGACAACAAAATCTATCAAAAACAAATATTAAACCATAAGAAAACTAGAAAGAAATGCTAACAAATTTTCAATTATTTTAAATTTCTTGGTTTATGTTTTCTATTTGTTTTCTAATTCAAAGTATAATCTCTATTTGCTTACGCCAAATAATTCTAGACAATGAAATTCGAATCAAATCGTATTTCCCAAATGGATTTATTATGTATTTTCTGATAAGTTCTGAAAAATATTTCATGCTTTCCTTGTTTCTTACTCATCGTTAGCCGGCATAAAAGAGGCGGGCGCCCACGTTCCCTGTTATCAATTGATTTATTGATTACGGTAGCGTCGTGCCCAACGGAACATATGCGATAGGTTCTCATTGTGAATATTAAATGCTCTGTAATTGCTGTGGGTCTGTATAATTTCTACAAAATTAAAATGAGTACTTATATCAATAACGTTGTCAACTCCATTACCAAAGCTATTTTTACGTCAGCAAAGTCACTTACCCATAGCGAAACATTTGTTTAAATAATGGGAATTTCATCAGTTTTGTTTGCTGCCCTCCAGCCACGTTAATATTTAATCAAGCTAAAAGATCGCTTATTGCCTGCCCCACTTATGATTATTATTGTTAGTGGTGGCCGAGGCATGTCTGTCGTAGTAGTCAAACTGATTGCGTCTTATCGTTGTCATATCGCCCCGAAGGTTACGTGATAAGACACCTTCTGAATTCTCGAATCTAGATTCTAGACAAATGAACGTTGCTGTTGCGGAGTCCACTTAATATTGTGTAATTTAGCATGACTTCGAACTTTGGGAAGGCCGCTTTTCACCCCTAGCCAACAGACAGGTTTCTATTTATTTCAATTTAAGCGAACCCTCTTAGAATATTGCAATTCTGCGGGCAAGGGAATTTTAGTGTTTGTCTTTTCTTGAAATTAAAAGCGAGGCATCATTTTAAAACTAAACTAAGGAAAACAAAACATATATTTCGTATTTGTTCCGATTTTTTTATTATTATTATTTTAATGAACCTAAAGATTTGTTTTTATTTTGTAGAGTTATTTATTTGATTTTAAGGGGTTTGGTATGAGAAAGCAGGCTAATATTTTATCATTGCATACTTTTTTGCAGTTCTTTAATAGATTTCAATATTGTATACATTTCTGATTTATCAAAATAAAGTAAATATTATGAATTTTTTTTTTAATTTGTAGTTTACTAAATTCTAATCTTTTAGGGAAATTAAAACAAATTTAAATACCATTTATTTTTAAATTTTGAGTTTAAGTCCCGCGTCTTACCATCGAAAACTTTTCTGCGACTCTGCATTACCGTTGTGAACAGTGTGAGGCAGCCCTGGTTATCGTTATCGGTGGCCATATCGCCGCAGCCCTGGCCCAAAGCTGGCGACAAAAGCCCAAAAAAAAAAAAAATGAAATGAAAACAAGATAATCATTGAAATTTCAAAAAAAAAAAGATAGTAAACAGCGTGCGTGTTAATATTTAAAGAGAGCCAGCCAAACAGCTGAAATGTGTTGCTCCGCACGAGTCCCGAGTTTTGCATAAATGTTGTGGCTGAGCAGGCAACGGGAATCTCCCCGAGAAGTTGAGCGATGAAATACGAATATAAGCTGGTAGAGATCTAACCAAAAAGCTATTAACTACATTTATGACTAAGGTATACAGTTAGTTAAACTAATCCAATGTTCTATCTGCAGCTGGCCACCGATGAAAAGCCGCTGCGGCGGAAAAACAGCGGCTCCCCGAATGGCGGCAGCAGCGGAAACCGTGGCACCAGCGCCCTCAAGATCTCCTTCCTCTGCCTGGTCATCTCCGCCATTCTGCTGCTCTTTGTGTTTGGTGTGTATCATTTGTATTATGCTAAAAGCGATGTTCCCAAAGTTGTGCTAACCAAACCCTCTGTTTTTCCCACGGTCACCGTTCCTTATGTGCATGTGGAACCCCATTTTCCGACACCTGTACGACCTGTTGTTCGCCAAAAACCAAAAACCACCATCAATCCACCCGCCGACGATTCAGGCTTCATCTCCGAGAACGCCAGCCCGTATCTGGCCCGCTTGGCCTCCAAGTTTGGGTACAGCAAGGTGCAGTATGCGGCCATCATTGATGCCGGATCCACGGGAAGCCGCGTCCTGGCCTACAAGTTCAATCGCAGCTTCATCGACAACAAGCTGGTGCTCTACGAGGAGCTATTCAAGGAGCGCAAGCCTGGCTTGAGCTCCTTTGCCGACAATCCAGCCGATGGAGCTCACTCCATCAAGCTGTTGTTGGATGAGGCTCGTGCCTTTATACCCAAGGAGCACTGGTCGTCCACTCCGCTGGTACTGAAGGCCACCGCCGGCCTAAGGTTGCTGCCAGCCAGCAAGGCGGAAAACATCCTAAATGCCGTCCGTGATCTGTTCGCCAAGTCAGAGTTCAGCGTTGATATGGATGCGGTTGAGATTATGGATGGCACCGATGAGGGCATCTTCAGTTGGTTCACCGTAAACTTCCTGCTGGGTCGCCTGTCCAAGACAAACCAAGCGGCTGCCTTGGATCTGGGCGGCGGCAGCACCCAGGTTACCTTCTCGCCAACGGATCCGGAACAGGTGCCCGTGTACGACAAGTACATGCACGAGGTGGCCACCTCCAGTAAGAAGATCAATGTGTTCACGCACAGCTATCTGGGCCTGGGTCTTATGGCCGCCCGTCACGCCGTCTTTTCGCACGGCTACAAGAAGGAGGCCTCGGTGCTGGAGAGCGTGTGCGTCAATCCGATCATCGCCAATCGCACATGGACATATGGCAATGTTCAGTACAAGATCAGCGGCAAGGAGAATCCCAAGTCCAGTGCCGAGCAGCCGATTGTGGACTTTGACGCCTGCCTGGAGCTGGTCAAGAGCAAGGTGATGCCGCTAGTCAAGCCCAAGCCATTCACACTCAAGCAGCATGCTGTGGCTGCCTTCAGCTACTACTTCGAGCGGGCCGTCGAGACGGGCTTGGTGGACCCGATAGCTGGCGGGGAGACCACTGTGGAGGCGTTCCGCAAGAAGGCCCAGGAGATCTGCGCCATCCCCAATGATGAGCAGCCCTTCATGTGCTTTGACCTCACGTTCATCTCGACGCTGCTACGCGAAGGATTTGGTCTTAACGACGGGAAGAAAATAAAGGTGGGTTCACACAATTTTAATAATGATTCGATATTTTAGCTGAATTCCGATATATAAAACGATTTTTTCAAACTTCTTATAAATCGATAATATGTTTTATGTGTAAAACTGACAAAAAAGAGGCTAAACTTAGTTAAAAATATCATTCTTGGATAGAAATATTAAACAAGTTATCGATTTTAAAGATTTTTTTTTTAATAATTCAATTTTGATTCGATATTTGATGTAAAGGCCGATATATAAATCGATTTTTTAAAATTCCTATAAATCGATCCTATTAATATTTGTACATACATCTCTAATTCTATTAATTTTTATTTTCAGCTTTACAAGAAAATCGATGGCCATGAAATCTCCTGGGCCTTGGGCTGTGCCTACAATGTGCTGACTAGTGACGAAAAGTTCAGTAATTCCTAACGCTCCTCTCCATTAGTCCATAGTAGATGACGACATACACATTTTTAACAGAATTGTTAGCTGAAATTGTTTATAGAGTGCCTTAGACGTGCATCGAGTATACTACAGATTACACACTTATATAACACAACTCGGACATTGCCTATATACATATCGTTTAATATCGTTTTTGTGCTCTGTAAGAATCATTTCACACACACACAAACACTGCGACTACACTTAATGTTTAGTTTGTAATTCCAATTTCATGTGATTTTTGTATTTTTCGTAAAGCAATCTATTTTGCAAAGTTCTTAAATGTTTAGTCCTTACACTTGTTGGATTCCTCATGTACATAACAATTTACACATCGATATGTATTTACCTTAAATATGTAAAACGGCCTAGACTATATATTAGTGAGAACATTTCAAATTGTTTTTGTCACATATGCAAATGTTAGTTTAATTATTTTTGCAAAAATAAATCAATAAAATGTTAACATTGGTCTAAATATAATTGAGGCTAATGATTTATGGTTAATATTCTATGGGGTGGGGGCATTGTAGCTTTTTCAGCTTCTAGAAGTTAAAATTTTAATGCTGATTCGATATTTTTGATGAATGCCGATATATAAATCGATTTTTTCAAACTTCTAATAAATCGATATGTTAGATTTTCAAAAGGAATCCATTGGGACTTGGCTCGCGAGATAAAATGCCATTCTTATGTTGAATATATGAATATGAAATAGTTATTTTGTGAGCAATTAAATAAATATAACATTATAATTATTAATAATAGAATCATAAAACAAACTCCCTAATTTTAGCATCGAATTTAAAACACTCTTGGTCTGCTGTAATAAAATAATATATTTATTTAATGCTGTTTTTAATTTTCGTTATACAAAATATACATACAAGTTAGAGGATGGGTAAATGCACAACGTAGTAAAAGGAAAAAGAGCATTGAGTACTACGTGAATAACATATTCTTGCGGTGGAATCTTTGTCTTTTTTTTTTGTTTGTACAAATAAAACTAGGAAATACGGGAGAGCTTTGATCGGATCTATGCAAAATTCATTGGCTACAAGTATAATATATCTTGGATATCCTCCCTCACGGCCTGCCCAATCTCTGCGGCTCAATGCCCAACCGATCAATGATGTACTGCGGCATGCAGAGCGTGGGATTGATGGCCTTCAGGCCGGAGTGTCCCAGCAGCGAGAGGCCACCGATGCCGAAGAGCGTGTGGAATATGTCGGGCATGTTGCCGGTGCGATCGGAAAAGCCGCCAGTCTCCGCGTCCTGGCAGGACAGAATGAACTGCTGAAGCTTCTCGGAGCTAATCCAATGCAGACGACCCATTATCGTAAGGGAGGCGAGCACCCACCACGAGTAGCATACATCGGGCAGCTTCTCCGGACGACCGTTGAGACCGCCCGAGGGCAATTGGCGCTCGCAGAGCCACCAGCCCAGTTTGTCCACATCCAGCAGGTGCAGGCGATTGGTCAGCGAGAAGAAGCCAACGCAGCAATAAATCAGACCTAAGGGAATGCAAAATATAACGAAGATTAAGATAATAACAACATTATGACTCACCCGCATGCGACTCGGCTCCTGGCTTGGATCCAAAGCCTCCGTCCGTTTGATTGCAACACGACAGCACAAACTTGACCGCCTTCTCCACATCGATGCTCTGCTTCATACGCTGCAAAAGCGTAAGCGTGGCCACCGCGCAGAAGCTGAACCGTGTGTCCACCTCGCCCCACTTGTCGCCAAAGAAGCTGCCATCCGGCTGCTGCAATCCCACCACAAACCGCACCACTGCCTCGCAGTCGATCTCCTCGAGGGCATCGTAAGTACACAGAATCTGCACCGCAGACAATGTATACAGCAGGTGGGGATCGTGGCCTTCGCAGGGCGCAAAGCCTCCGGTTGTTGGGCACTGACATCGCTTCACAAACTCAATGATGTACTTGCGCTCCAGCCTGTCCAGTTGACCCATTATGTCCAGGGCCGTGGTGCCCCAATAGATGCCCGACATGCGCAGGAACTCGGTCATGCAGTACTCATAGTCATCCTCCTGCTTTCCATGGTTCTCGATGTACTCCACATGCTTCCAGAACTGCAGTGTCTGGGCGCCGCCATTGGCGTCACCGCTGCCATTGGAGGGCTTGACGAAGGTCGTGAAGTCCATCGCTGTTGATTGGCCTCAATTGAAACGGATCGGAACGGTCCTCAGCCTGGGGTTTCGCTTGATTAAATGAATTAATTGGCACAGGGAATAGTTGTGCGAGCAAACAAACAAAAATATCTAGAAGAGGCAACGAGCCGCAGCTGATTCATCAGCTTCGATGGTTGGCAACGCGGGCGGTTTGTTATCAAACAGCTGATCGGTTCAGGAGCGCAATCAGGGACGCCGAGATGGGGCTGCGAAATATTCAAGCCAGGTATAAATAAATACAACTTTCCAATGAGCTTACATTGTTTATTGAACTTTATTGACATGAAAAAACTAAAAACGCGAGATGGGAAACCTAACTATTGCACCAGCAGACTAGACTGTGGATCGGGCTCGTCAATGCTGAGGGAGACAATGTGCTTACCGGGCACCATTACGTTGCCCAGAAGCCTTGGCTCCTGGCCCTCTACCAAGTACTCGGCGCACATGGAGAGCACAATGTTGGCATCACGGTCCGTACAGTTGAAGAATCCGACCAGGACCCGGCCGTCAGTGATGACGATACGCAGGACACGGCCCAGCCACTTTTGCAGCTTCTTTCGTCCGGGCGTCAAGCTGGCATCATTCATCTGGTGCGGTGCGTTCGTGGTGATACGGAAGGGCTCTGCAATGGGTTGCGGTGCCAGCGGCACCTGCTGGCCACTGATGCTGAGATTTGTCATCAGGAATTTGTTTTCAATGTAAAAAACAAAACAGAAAATAGAATAGCTTCGAAGAAGTGTGACCGAAAAGTGGTAAATCATTAATACCGTCCAGCTCTTAAAATATACCGCTTCATTACATTTTTGAAAATATACCAATAAATTATTCTTTTAATAGGGTGTTTTAAATTAAAGTATACAAAAGTAATAATTTATATAACTGCTATTTACATTACATAACTAATATGTGTAATTATGGGAATTTTCTTGTATTTATTTTATCGCACTTCGCTCTGAAAATACTAAATGGTGCTTTTCTAGTATTGCAGCCCTGGAGCTGGACTTAATGCTGAAACGGTCCCACTAAAGCCATCAGCTGAGTCCACTTATCGCGGCAATTTTGTTTCCAATTTATCCAAAACTTTTTCATCATATTGACCATTCCAAACAATTAACTACTACTATAAAAAATATGTCGGGCAAGGCCTTAAATATTGGTGATACATTTCCCAACTTCCAGGCAAATACAAGCGAGGGAAAGGTTGATTTCTACGATTGGATGGGCGATAGCTGGGCTATCCTGTTCTCCCATCCGGCGGATTATACGCCCGTGTGCACCACGGAATTGGGCCGAGTGGCGGCCCTGATTCCCGAGTTCCGTAAGCGCGGAGTTAAGCCCATTGCCCTGTCCTGTGACACCGTTGAATCGCACAAGGGCTGGATCGAGGACATCAAGAGCTTTGCCAGTGGGTTTTGAATGTCAAGTGTTTTGAGCCACATACATAAAGTTTCTTTGTTTGTTTTCAGAACTGGACAGCTTTGACTATCCCATCATAGCCGATGACAAACGGGAACTGGCCCTTAAGCTGAATATGCTGGACAAGGATGAGCTGAATGCAGAGGGAATTCCTCTCACTTGTAGAGCTGTTTTCATTGTGGACGAAAAGAAGAAGCTGCGCTTATCCATACTTTATCCAGCCACCACGGGACGCAATTTCGAGTGGGTTTCGTATATTTAAAATTTATATAAAATTATATTTTCTTACACTCAATAATCCTTTCAGTGAAATCCTTCGGGTCATCGATTCCCTTCAGTTGACCCAAACCAAGAGCGTGGCTACGCCGGCAGATTGGAAGCAAGGTGGCAACTGCATGGTGTTGCCCACGGTTAAGGCCGAGGAAGTTCCACAACTCTTTCCCAGCGGCATTGAGACCGTTGAAGTGCCCTCTGGAAAGCATTATCTACGAATAACACCACAACCCTAAGGTTTTGTCTTTGTTTTTTTATTACAAAATTATAATACAACAAAAATAAAGCACAATAAAGTTTAAGCGCTTACAACCGTATTTCAACAGACGAAGGTGTGCGAAAACATTCGACTTACAATCTAATATCTGGATGATTGGGGGAATGTGACAAAATATATAAGGTCGCGCGTTTCGTTTTACAAAATAAATATACATAAATATGTACGAGTACAAAAGTAGGATAAAGATATTGCAACTGGATTTGAAAATATTATAAATAAGGCCAACTCTGTACAATAACCGAAGAACAACTTTCGTGGATAAACGAAAGCTAAAGACCAAGCTCGTGCCCGTAACCAAAGGTATCTGGAAATAGGAATAAAATTAAGGTAATTAGGATTTTAGTAAAAAGAATTATGAATTATTTTACTTAAAGTACATGTGAGAGTAAGCAGTAAAGTAGTGACTAGCTCTGCCTCCTTTCTAGTTACATACGTACAAGAAACCATAAGAAGATCAAGACACGGCACTTTCCCTTGTTTAAATACTCAAAGATATTCAAACAATCAGTGTGGGGTAGGTGATCGTTTCCTTAAATATGTTAATGAAATGCAAACAAGTATACATGTAAAAGCTTTCGCTACCAAACAGGTTTCTCCGTGGCCGTGAATATTACGGGAATACCTTTATCGAAAACTGAATACAAATGATCCGGATATTTCCAATCTCTTAAAGTTTTCTCTACAAAGCTTGCTCTAAAATGTTCTAATGGGCTGTAGGTGGTTTTATTTACTTACAATTTAACTACCACATGTCCCTGCATCCTTTTGCACACTTTCTGTGTCAGCGTCTGCGCTGCTGAAGCATTCGTGCAAAACGTCGCACCAGGAAAGGCCACAGTATGAGGACGGCGAACCAGAGCGGAGAGATGTTTTTTAGCGGCCACCAGGCGGGCTGTGATCGCGACGAGGCGGCAGTCGTTCCCCTTGACTTTTGCACATTTCGCACCTCATTTACCGCCTGTTCCAGGCTACGAACCCGCTGCTGGACAGCACCAACATCGGTGTTCATGCGCGAGATGGCGGTCTGAATTTGGCGCAACAGGTCCGTGTTCTGGGCAATCGCCTGGGTCAGCTCGTGGCTGAGATCATAGGGATCATCGTACTCATCGTCCGATGGCTCCACAATCGCTACGCTGCTATTGCTCGTGTAGTTGTGGCTGTCATGTGCATAGTTGGCGGATTTGGAGCCATAGCCATTGGTCAGTGGCGGCGAAATGTGGCCATTGGTCACCACTGGGACCGCACTGGGGCCGTTCTCTTTTATCGTTTCGGATGTGGCCAGCGGTGCCTCCTCCAACTCCGCCTCCCCGTTACAGCTAGATCCGTGCTGTGGGCTGTTTGTGCGCGAATGGAACGGCGAGTTGGGATGCGACTCGGCCAGCTCTCGCATGCCCGGCGATACCAGCTCCAGTTCGTCCAGATTAATGTTTCCCAGGTTATCGAGGCTGCCGACAAAGTTCTGCACGTTCTCCGTGAACGACATTGTCTCAATAATCTCCTGCAGGCTCTCCACGTAGCGCTGCATGGCCTGCTCCTTGCTCATATGACGGTTATCATTCCACGCGTCCCATTTGGCCTTGCCAACGATGTCCCAGAAGCCGGGCTTTCGCTGCAGGCAGGCTCCCTCTGTAGCCTGCTTGAAGAGGCCGTAGAACTTGAGCATCATGCCGGTGCTGGGCTGATAGGGTCCATTCTTGGGCAGTCCCTTGATCACGTTAACCGCGGCCTGGAAGCGTTCCTCGATGGCGGCCATTCCTGCAAGATTAAGTTAATGGTTGATTATTTTCCGTAATGCGCGATTATCGGAATGCGGGCGATAAGATATACATATGTACATAAGCTCATCGGCTGGCCAAGGCGATAATCCCAGAGTCGAGAGATGTGGTCAATAGCTTTTGGCTGCCGCTTACAAATTACCTACTTATTTCGCTATTTTGCAATCCGAATTGGTGTTGCAAGCCCCTGCTCCGCTGTCTGCTCTATTGTCTCCCGTTTATTGATTCCGCTGGGCAATCATACATAGATTCGGGGCGACGTTTTCGGATGCGAGGCGACCGCTGACCGCTGGTGGACAAAGTTCGAGTTCTGAAGTTCAGTTCTTCTGAGCTTCGGCTGAAGCTTTCCACACTGTTCTTATCGACCTCGGCCAATCGACGAGCAATTATTGCGCTGTTCCTATGCTCTTGGCTGGCGTAAATCCGAGTTGCAATCAAATAAAAACTAAACAAAAACTCAAAAACTCTCTCTCCGTGATGGCAGTGTTGCCAGTTTAGCTCATTTCAGGCTAGACTTGGCTTATTTGAAAATGCAAAAACGGCCGTAAAACGAGATTATTTCTAAAAACTTTTTTTAATATTCAGATAAATATATTTTAGCTTTTATTGTAATACTTAAAATATGTATTTTTTTTTCTAGCACTTTTGAAATCCTATTTGTTGTTTTGTTTGCTTTTACTCTCGCAAACTAGCTTAATCGAGGGCTCATCACTGGCAACACCAAAGAAAACAGAGTTTGGTACAGAAAAAAATACTGAAAAGTGTGGCCGTAAATCATCGATGACGAGAAAAAATAAAAATAAAAGAAAAAACCAAGGTAACAACCATTTGGAAATCTCAGGGCAAAGGTGAAGGAGGGTGACGCAGATTTGGCAAGACGCAGAATGAGTGTAATTACTATATAAGAAACCAAGTACGAAAATATTTCTTCAAGTTCAAAATTCGAAAAATTAAACAAACTTTTTAAACTATCGATAAAAGCAGTTGCACCCATTGCTATAAGAAATACCATCGTCATCCGTGGGAATTCCTCGCACTTCTGTATACGGTCACTCACTTTTTCATTTCGTCAAAATCAGTAATCGAAGTGCTTAATTATTTGCATTATTTTTAACCAAACGCAGAGCTTTCCGAAAGCTGCCATCGTCGAGTCAACATAGTGCCAGCGCTGGCCCACGCAAAATACCCAATATCCGGAGGTTAGCGGAACGGAATAGGGAATCGCTAATCAAAAATCGACATTGAACGCAAGGGAATTTCACAAGATCTGCGAACAGAGGGCGGGTGTCTGCCAGCGGAGAGTGACTTCATTGCAATCAAACATGAAATTTGCTGCAACGACGACCAGAGCACGACATTTTTGTACTATCGCCCAGCAGCAGAGTGTGAATAAAATACGCCCGCAACAGCCGTCGACCTTCATTCCGCGATCGGAGTTGAACATTTGCAAGCGCCGCGTGCAGCAGCTCCAGAGACAATCGTGTAGAATTTCCAAAAATTGGAAGCACCAAAGCTTCTGCATAGGTGCGTCCTGATCAAAATCGTTCCCAAACACAACTAGCCCCCGAGAGACAAGAACAAAGCCCGAATTCTAACCTAAGTTGCGTTCGAAGAAGAAATCAATAAATTGGTGAAAAGGAACCACGTGCGTTTAGTTGCCGCCAAAGCGGAGAGTGTAGACATTTTTGCGGTCGTGTAGACTTTTTTCTTCTTCTTCGCCTCCATCTTTGGACAGAAGGACACACTCGGCTACACGGAATCGGTTCCGATTTTTTCTTTGTTTTCTGGTGTGCCGAAGCAGGCCAAACAATAACAAAGCAAACGTCGTCGTCGTCGTTGAGTTCAAACAAAATACGTGAACATCGCAAAAACAGATCGGCTAACAACAACAGCAACATGCCGCGACGCAACAAGAAAGCAGGAGCAGGCAAAGGTGAGTCACAAGAGACGAAACGAGATGGGGATAGATGTGTGGCCGGTGCAGGCGAAATTTTCACAGCTGCTTTTTTCGCTTGACCTTTGCATTAGTCATTCCATTCGTCATGACTAATAAATACTGTGTACTATGTGCACTAGATTGTGTATTTCGTTGGCTTCCAAAAACAAAAGCTTTTTGTGCCCACAACCTGTTTGGCAATATCAGCCGAAATGTTTACGGGGCACTCCCCATTAGGTGAACACATAAGACACCCAAGACAATATTATTTAACAATATTTCGGCAGTGCTTTGAATTTAACATGTGTTTAAAAATATTCTAGATTTGTACAATTATTCTAATCTGATAATTTGATTCTCACAGGGTATTTAACTTGTAGAGTACCCACTGTTATTGCGCTTTGTTGCTGTGCTGTGTTGGCATGAAAAGCTCTTCACGCGCTCAGCTGGCTACGCAACAACACAAGTAATGAACCGAACGCCAAATATATATAAATGCTTGAATATATATAAATGTATATACATATGTACTTGTATGTACGGTATAGAGGTATTCAAACACACATGCGAACGTTCAATGCCAGCTTATCAGAATCACGCAAACGAAAAAAAACAGAACGGAATGCCTCAGTTCTATAATCGCAGGGTATCATTTTGGGTTTGATTTCAATAAAGAATGTGTATTGCTTAAAATAACTGAGGAGTTAAATTTCAATGTTTATTATTGGATTTTCCAGCACTGTATGGGTATTTAAAACCCAAAGAATGCGAAATATTGTACTGAAAACGAGTTAAAGAGATTGAGAGAGAGTGTTATTTGTTATACTTATATCTTATATATATTACATCTGGTGCCATTATCTTATATAATATATAAAGATCATGTTTAAAAATATTTGACCATTTAACCTATTATATTAAATTTAGGGTAACATAAGGTACATCATTCTGTTGCGCCTATCTATTACATATATTCACCCATTGCTTTTGAAAATCAAAAAAGACGCGGAAGAAACTATTTCTATCCTCTCGTTGCTCAGCCGCCTTATCGAGGTGACCTAAAAATTATGCAACTCTGTGTTATGCAGCATGTACCTTCACTTGAGCCAGATTGCTTGCTCTCCCGAATCTAATCCAAACAACTTTCAGACCGCACCAACAGCTGTTTTTTACCTGCAGTAGTTACAGCATGCTGTGTCGCTGTTCGCCTTTGTGTAAAAGGTGAAAAACACGAGGCTGAGGCGGAAACTACCTTGCCCCAAATAGAAAACAGGCAATGGAAAATCGCCATAATGAAAGTTGTTGTTGAGTTCGACGACGGGTTTTCTTTTCTTTTCTTTCTTTGGCTTGTGGCAGTAAGCAAACAAAAACTGCCAAGAGAAAGACGCCAAAACTTGTTGCACAACATTTCCTCTCAAACCATATGGTCTTGAAGGTCATTGCTGTGTAGCGAACAATGTAATTGAATTTCTAATTTGAATGCTCACTACATACTTACTTACATACTATAAATATTTATGTATTTGGATGGCTTAAATTAAAATGAGTTCAAGCAAGAGAATGGGTAGTGCTTGAAGACGGAAAAGCTTGGCGTTGGGTTTGACAAGCACTGGGCTCAGTTGGAGTTTCAAGTAGTTTGATAGATTTTGTAGCCATTGAAGAGACTGGGTGGTATATTCCAATTAATTTTATGAATTTAATCTATTGAAGACTTAATTACAAAAATATTAATAATCATTAATAATAATATTAATTTGCAGGCCGCACCAATGACTCAAATTCTGAAGACGAATCCTTTGATAATGTTAGCGTTTATTCGCACGTCTCGGAGGTTGCTTCTTCGGAAGCCACCGATGAACTGGCCAACGAGCGCTACGAGGAGAAGTTCGAGAAGGCCCTAGAGCAGGCCACCGAGAAGTCGGCCCAGACCCGTGTTCAGGCACTTCAAGCGATTTGCGAACTGCTCATGCATCGCTATATGCCAGATTTTGTGGAGGACCGCAAGATGACCCTAATGGACTTTGTGGAGAAGAGCATACGCCGGGGCAAGGGACAGGAGCAGGTGTGGGGCGCTCGGCTCGCCCCCCTTCTGGTGCTTCAATTGGGCGGCGACGAGGGTTTCTCAAAGACCATGAACCAGTTCCTGTTGACCACGGTGCAGGACAAATCGGTGGGCTTTGATGCTCGAGCCAAGTGCTGTACAGCCCTGGGATTGCTGAGCTTTCTGGCCTGTGAGGATGTGGGAGAGTTGGTGCAGCTGATGCAGTACTTTGAGGCCATCTTTGCCGGCAGTTATTTGCGGGGCGATGACAAGACCCCAGTGTCTGTCACCGCTGAGGCGGGCACTCTTCACGCTGAGGCCCTATCTGCCTGGGGATTGCTACTTACACTAATACCATCCGGTGACTTTGTTTCGCTCATGACAACTGGTCAGAACATGTTCCCGTAAGTACTCTATGAAACTCTTAAAGTAAACTTGTAAATTAAGGATGAATTTTGAAAATTAGTAAATATATTTGAATTGAATCACTTGCAGTTCTATCAAGAAGTTTTTGGGCCTTTTGCAATCCACACACTTGGATGTTCGCATGGCCGCTGGCGAGACTATTGCTTTGATCCTGGAATCGGGCCGTGCCCACGACGAGGACTTCCTGGAGGAGGATATTGCTGAGCTCTGCGAGGCTGTCAAGCAACTGGCCACCGATTCGCACAAATACCGTGCCAAGCGAGATCGCAAGGCCCAGCGGGCCACCTTCCGTGATGTGCTGCGCTACCTAGAGGTGAGTGATCTTGATGTTTGTGTTACACATTTATTCAAACTAAAATAATGCACAAGACTTCAAATCGAGGAAGGACTAGACTAGACTACTTCATGTCATTGCAAGTGAACTTGAGCTCGTGCTTGCAATACTTGGCCAAGCACTTGGAGTGATCGTGCAGCTTGTTGCGCATAATGACACAACCATTGCGACTAATCGAGTCCATGTACTCTGTGAAGTTCGGCATCTTGCGGTATGTGGTTGGAGCTGCGCTCCAATGTGAGTTGCTGCCAGATTCGACAAACTGTGAGGAATCCGAGAAGGTAGTCTTGAACGGCTTGTATGTCTTCTCGCACTCGTCCCGCGACACCTCATAGTCGGCAGAAGTTTCACGTTCCAGTTCGTTCATCACATTCGAACGGAACTCTGAGCAGGGTCCGCGTTCGGTCATCATCTTGTTGGTGTGTTGCTTGGAGTCGTCCTCAGTCTTCAGGCTCTCGTATATCCCATCCGGATACTCGTTCATGTTGCAGAAATCGATTTGATAGGTCGTGTACATGCGGTTCTTCTCTAGCCTTCGACTCAGCTCCTCTTTGGGCAGGACCTTGAGCCGTTCGTACAGGTCCGGGTAGACTGTGCGCAAGATCTTTAGGAACCGATTGGGTTGCATTTGGTGGCAGTCCGTCTCCGTTGAGAAAGCCATATTGTCCGCTTGATTCTGGGTAAGCTGGGTGGGTATGATTCGCGGATCCACTAGCTTACCCATCGGAGCAATCCCTGTCCACTCAACGCCGCCACAATCCTTGGCCGCCAGAGGGATTTTGATCTTGTCCTCGTCGATGCATTGACACTCGATGATCTTGGGAGCTTCCTGACCACCGGGGCGCGTGAGAAACTCGTACCTTTTGGCATTGGGTGTTACATAGTCATGCTGATAAGTTGATAACATCATTTTGAAGGCAGTTTATATTAAAAAGTAATCAAGACAAGAATAGAGATCCCGTTATATATTTTTTTTTGGTTTTTTTTTTTTTACACCAAGAATTTTTGTATTAAAACATAGAATTTCGTCTGCTCTGCAAGAAATGAAAACTACAAATGTGATTATTACGTATTACCCAAAATTAAATAGGAATTTACAAGCGTGGCCTACCTTGATTAATTTTTTGTTTGTTACTTTACTTTTTTTATAGGAGGACATTTCACCCGAAATTAGCATTCGCTTTGGAAACGAGTCTCTGACTTTGGATGCCTGGTCCATACACCATCAGTATTCGGCTATGTGCACAGTCATGGGTCCTGGTATGACATCGCAGCTCCAGGAGAACGAGTTCATTCGTGACATTTTCCAGCTGGGACCGCGTCCCACCAACACGGGCATCAATGGCAACGCCAAGATCAAGCCCTCCAAGCTGGAGCGGGTAAGTTGAGAATTCTAGTGTTTTAAAGATATTTCAAACATAAAATATTGATTTTGTTATCGACTTTTCCATCAAGTAAATGATACAAAACCGATATATTGATATTTTCTGTATTTTGATTTGATTTAAGCCATTTCCCTGGATTACCAAACTAACGTTATACTCTTTTTTCGTTTTGCAGCACCTCGTTAATGCCGCCGCATTCAAGGCACGTTCCATAACACGCGGAAAGAATCGTGACAAGCGTTCGGCCGTTGTTACCTAAAGCTACTCCAATTATGTTTTCAACAGTGACCCGGAAACATTCATCTCAAAAAACCCGATAGCCAAGACCTCTGGACTAACTAGTTAAATTTTATTTAATTTTAGCTTGAACCAGGCAGAGCGTGTAGCCAAAGCTGAAGAACTAAGTCTAAATTTAGGATAATTTTTGCAACTAATGTAACAAAATTGTTCTAGTTTTTAAATATTTAAATATTTTTGAATATTTATTGCTTAGCGCAACTGTAGTTGTGTTTCTCTTACTTGATTCTTAGACTTTGTGAATTTTCAATTTGGATTTGCACTTTGATTGTTACTCTAACTTCAATTGGGGGCCACCGAACCCATAAGTTTGTTGATCATTATTTAATTACAAGCGTATACAATATCTATTTCTGCTTCAAATAGTTGCTAAAATAGTTGAATGGGATAATACTAAAGTTGGTCATAGCTTGACTTGCTTTTATTACGTGTATATTATCTAAGCTAAATAATTATTAGTATATATACATATATATATATTTTGTAGTAGATACGTGTAAAATAAATGATTTTAGGCTTAAACACTAAACAAAACTTTTTTATTATGCGGAGTTGGTGATGTGAAAATGTCAATCTATAAAGCCGTTTCTTAGCCAAGGTCAAAACCACCTACGAGCTTGGTTCTTTTGGAACTCCAGGGCTGAATCCTCAAGTGCAGCGCATACATTTCCGGGGAAATTCTTTATGCTTTATATCAGTCATTAAAATTTTGGTTTTTATACCCTTGCAGGGTATTATAATTTCAGTCAGAAGTTTGCAACGCAGTGAAGGAGAAGTTTCCGACCCCATAAAGTATATATATTCTTGATCAGCATCAACAGGGGAACTGACTACAACTACTGACAACTAGACATGTCAGGAAGAAATCGATTTTTTGGCCAATTTTGCGAAATTTGATAAGGGGTTACATCATTAAAATTTTTGATTTTGATAAAAAATTGAATTTTCAAAATTTTTAAATGAAGTATGCAGATTTATTAACTGTAGAAAATCTAGCACAGAACAGTTTTCCGATTTAAAATTAATTCTCTTTTGGCCGAGTTTTGATATTTTTAATTTAAGAAAAATTAAGAAGTTTTTTAATATAAAAAATCCGAATTTATAATACAAAATAATATTTTTCTAAGTCAAGGAATCATTTCCGACCCCATAAACCATATATATTCTTGATCAGCATTAACAGGGGAATCTTTCTAGATATGTCAGGAAGAAATCGATTTTTTGGCCATTTTTGCGAAATTTGATAAGGGGTTACATCATTAAAATTTTTGATTTTGATAAAAAATTGAATTTTCAAAATTTTTAAATGAAGTATGCAGATTTATTAAATGTAGAAAATCTAGAACAGAACAGTTTTCCGATTTAAAATTAATGCTCTTTTGGCCAAGTTATGATATTTTTAATTTAAAAAAAATCCAGAAGTTTTTTAAAATAAAAAATCAGATTTTAGAATACAAAATAATATTTTTCCAAGTCAAGGAATCATTTCCGACCCCATAAACCATATATATTCTTGATCAGCATTAACATGCGAATCTTTCTAGACATGTCCGGAAGAAATCGATTTTTTGGCCATTTTTGCGAAATTTGATAAGGGGTTACATCATTAAAATTAGCAAAAATGGCCAAAAATTTTGATTTCTTAAAATTTTAAATTTGGTATGCAGTTTTTTTTAATTAATAAAAACTAACACAAAACTGCTTTCCGAATCGAAATTAATGCATTTTTGGCTTAGTTATGATATATTTTAATTGTTACCTGCAAGGGTATACAAACTTTTGCTGGCCAAAGTTAGCTTTCTTTCTTGTTTAAATTTGGGTTAAGTACGAGTCTATTCTATCCTGAGAGCCCTTGTCTAGGACTCCCCACAAGGATTTATACATTGGCCAAACAAAAATAAAAGAAAATACATAAAAGTTTTATATTTATAAATTCTAAAATAATAAAATAAGCTCAACTGTTATTCCCAACCCCCAATTTTAAAGACCCCCCCAAAATATGGCATAAAACAATTAGTTTGTAAGTTTTATAAATTTTTTATTATTCTTTAATTGTTTGTTTGTTTGTTTTTTTTTTATCACAAAAATTGTATGGTACCTTAAATTATATATGTTGGATTTTGCTTTTCTCTTCTCTTAAGGACTGTGTGTAGGTTTTACTTTGCTTTCGACAAATCGTGTGTGTGTGTAGCAACTACAATAAATTGCATATATATATGTATATGTATATATGGGCGCAACATATATGTAGGTGTATGTATCTATATATAAATTAGCTTCTTAAATGGTTAACTTAGGATTTAATACGAAACTTATACCAATCGAATACAAGGTAAAAAAAGTATGTAATTCGCTTATTTTAATATTCGCCAAGTACTTGTTCCAAGGATGAAACCGAATATGAAATGGATGAAATTGAAAAATGATTTTTTAAATTAGGAAGTAAACAAAAAAAAAGTAAAAACTAAAGGTCAGCATTATGGGCTGACTTACTGGCGCATCTTTTCAGCTAATCAGCTCATCGGGCTACTTGGCAACTCGTTCATATACTCATCATAATCTCAAGAAATTCTCGGTTCTCTACTACTGACCTACACCTCTTACACTACATATATAATATTTGGCTTCTTTTAATACATTTCGCTTTTGGAAATCCGCATAATGATAATTTGAGAGACGAAATTGACTCGCTAATCGAAACGCTAACGTGTTAGCTAAAACCTATATACACGGTTGAGGTTTTGAGGGGGAGCATCCATCCCCATAAACTAATAATTGAGCATTGAGCAAAATGTGTGCTAAACGCATTCTAAACTAAGGTAAGTAAATAGATTTTTAATGTCTGTAAGTTCAGCTGATGTGTGTGTGTGAGTGGATCGATCATTTTAGGAGGCCTGTGCTCCCGTCCTAGCCGCAGCAGCTGTTGAGGTGCTGGCACTGCTAACCTCCTCGCAAATGGTGTGCAGCTTCTCCATCTCCGAGCTGGTCACTATATTGATCGAACTGACTTTGGCACGCTGATAGGCCACCACTGTATTCTCGCCCAGGCACTTGACGCACACGTAGCCAATGAGAACGGCGATGCCAACGGTCATGACGCGCACCAATGGATCCACGTACATCTGGATGACAACCCAGGCAGTGGCACCGGTCACGCACATCAGGGTGATCAATATAACAGTTTTGGACCAATGCTGAATGGTGAAGCCCTTGTCCCATTCGAGTCTGCAAATGAAAGAGAAGAAATTTAGGTTTAGAAATTACATTTGAGCTGAGTTTGCAGAAAGTATTGATACTCACTTCTTGGACTTCTCGATCTCGTAGGGATGCCCGCAGACCTTGCACGACAGCTGAGCCTCCGAATTGCTGCAACTCTCCACCAGCCAACGCTTGAGGCACTCGTGATGCACTGAGCTCACGTCGCCGGTGCACCGGCAGGGCTGGATCAGTGGCTCGGGCTTATCGGTGTCATAGCAAATCCAGCAATCCTTCTTGTTCAAGAACGATTGACCCTCCTCGGGCGACAACTTGTTGGTATCCGCATTGAGCGTGGGTATCGATGGATCAATTTGGCGCGATAGCAACTTCCGGGGATTTAGGATCCATAATTGTTCAGGAGCCATTGAATTCCACAGGCAGCAGGGAAACCACAGAGCCACTCCGATCTCGGCGATGCGGAAAATAATGTCATGCCAGTTCCGCGAATTAACAGGAACTCTGCGGGTGGTTAGGAATAATGTAAAGCAGCTGTTTTGGCTAATTAAAAACGAGGTTAAAAACTTACTTGGCCTTCCAGAAATCGCCCAAAGTTTCAGAGGTGAGAAAGCCCACAATCACAATTAGCATCACGGCCTGACTCAGCAGCCCGAAACGCGACTGATGCAACTGCGAGGCATTTACGATCGCCTCGCTGGGGCCCAGGATCTTGCCCGTTTGATCATAAACGAAGCCGCCGCGCAGCTTAAAGAACACCTCCACGCCGTAGATGAGGAAGAAGACCACCACGATGAGGAGTAATACTGCATAGCATCCGTTGAAGATGTGGGCGTAGTCGCGTCGTTCCGCGTTAATCAACGAGTTAAAGACCTCGATGCCAAACAGGCTGTACAGGAAGAAGTTGAAGGCCACGAAGCCGAGGAAGCTCTTCGAGAGGAACTGCGACTTCTCCCAGCGAATGTCGCGCAGGTGAAAGATCTGTAACGGCGAACGGCACAAATGCGAATGAATATAATGAGTAACCAGGTTCTCCACCTCCTAACACAGTTTATATTTCATTTTAGGTTCTGGTGTACGTACTCTCTCGCCTCAAAACTTAATTAATAGCGGTTGGCCTATCGGGAGCGGGGGAGGCAGGCCCCAAGATACGTTCCGCAAAAACAATTGAAATTGTCCCGAGACTTGCGGGTGCGGTTGTACTCGACTCGTTATCGCAACTGGCAAGTACAAGTGAACTTCGGATACAAGGTAAGAGCGAAGCACAATGGTGCCCGGTCAGAGAGTTTCCCCCGTTCCACAACCAATTGTCGGAGCAATCAAATAAATATATTGCTACGTCAGGCTGTTCAATCGCCATTTTGGAGCTGATTAGTCCTACTTAGTGGTGGGCTCGTGACTAGGAAATATTACCTAGCTTTGGCTTATCAAAGAAATTTATGAAATGTTTTCTTATACTTGGTGGTGAAGATAGCCAGAAGCTTTAAAAAGCTGGGTGAAATGTTCTTTAATTTCTTATCAGAATCATATTGTTGTTTTGCTTTCTTAATTCAACAAGAACTTTTACCCAAAAATCAGTCAGTTTACTAATCTATTTATTCATTTTAAAAGCTTTCTTAGTAAATACCTCCAAGTTTAGACAGTTGGCTCTATCGAAGTTTATTAATGCTTTCTTTTTAGCCAAAAATGTCCACTAGGCAGCGAACTTTTGAACATTAAGCAGGTGGATTCGAAAAATGTCCCCTAAATATTAAATAACGACAACTAATCGGACTTTCCGCATTAGTTTTTGCGGACGAGAATTGCGAATTCTCAGGATTATATTCGCAAATTCTTATTCGGGTTCCTTAAATGAGAGCATTTGCCGTCACAAAACCCATGGCAGATGTTACGAGCTAATCCTACTATACAAGATTCACTCTCCTGACCTTTAGATATCAGACTTAAGACACAATCTTATTTAGACTGCAATCTTATTTGGACTGCACCAACACTCACCTCGGCCCACATGCAGACAATCAGGGAGGCGCAGGTCATGAGCAATGGGTAGTAGGCGGACATCAGGGTAACGGCCCATTGTGGCTGCAGATCCAACTAAAAATAAAATCCCAGTTAGGGGTAAATATAAAGATCAAATCGTCGGTGATTGAAATACTTACTGGAGTGGTGAAGTAGGCTCCACGCAGTGAGGCTGCCACAAAGACCATGAAGTAGAGCAGCTTCTGGGTGGTGATGCGACAGGCGCGTAGGATTGAGGGCTGCTTGAGCCTCTGATACTCGGCCACGATGCAGATGAGCAGCTGGATGACCGAGACCAGAGCCACCACATAGAAAACGGTGGAGATGCCGGCGTAGTAGGGTAAGTTGAAAATGTCGCACTCGTTGCCCGCATAGCGAATGTCACAGACGCAGGTGTTGTTGACACAATCGCCGCGTCCGGAGCAGCTGAGATCGTTGTCCGGCGTGAAGGGGCCATAGATGCCCCCGGCGGCCGCCTTGCTGTGACCATTCCGCATCTGGCTGGCCACTGCCGCCTCCAGCGGCGATTGCAGAACTCGCTTCGAGCAACGCATTAAGGTATCCAGGCTGGGTAGCATTCTATATTAAATCAACTGCAAATAGAGAACAGAATCGGGCAGTTAGTAGGGGGTGTAAACTTAATTAATACATCGCCAGAGCACCAAGGTTGGCAGATGGATGGCCAACAAAAAAAAACAAACAAAGGGTGGGGTGTCGTTTAAATAAACATTGAATTTGTTTTGTTGTCTGGCCGGCGGCCTGGCTGCTTGCTCTAAAAGCAAATGCAAATGTTTGCACAGCCGACCCGGGCCTGGAGCTCTGACATCAGGGGTACTCCTTAAGCTTTGACTCAAACAAATAAGTAGAATCAATTTTCTGATTTATTCGCTAGGCAAAAACATGCACAAAGTACGCAGTATTTATAAGATTAAGAGAATTAAGTGATAGGTGAAAATATTCTGTAGAATTTTAGAAATCCCCTAAAAAGGCGTCTAAAAGTATGCAATAAAATGTTTGAAAGTGGCTTACATTTGACGGTTTAGAATTTTGTAGCATAGTTATAGACACCTTTTAAGAGATTTTAAAATCCAGAGGATTTCTCTAAGAGATATACTTTTTAAAAATTAAAGGATATCATCAGAAATGTTTTGGTTCAAAAGTAATTTAAATGAGGAAATTGCATGATTTTAAACACCCCTTTAATTAATTTTAAATATATCACCCCATATATAAAGAGTTTTACACAAACATTTAATACTAAACAATATTTAAACCCATTTTCAGCTCACATTGCTTAACCCTACTGAATGAAAACAAGCAACTGACAGTGCCCAAGGGTGCTGATGGAATACGAAAGAATATTGCGGGAGGGTAAAATGGCAAAACTCAATGCCTATGGGGCCTTTGGCATTATTATGCCAGCAACAATTCTAAGCCAGCCACAGTCGTCTGTCCATCAATCAAAAGGCACACACATCGTCGCCATCAGAAATGGCGAGAGAGACGAGGCATCGATAAAAATGCCTGCCAGCAACTTGACACCCACAATATCAAATATATATATTGGGACACCAGGCATCATGGCAATCCATTGAGTTGTCGTTCTATATTAACCAATTGAAATGCACGAGTCTCGGGTGTCGGTCTCTTCGATATGGTCAAACCCATTGATATATACATATCCAATTCGAAATTTCCTCTTCCCTTTAAATGGTATATTAATTACACTGAAATGTTCAACAACTTTTGCTAATTGCTACATTTGTTTTTAATTGTTATGGGCTTTTATTTCCAGAGAGGTCGCTCTTTATCACTTTTCTGATTGATAAGAATCCTTTCTAAGAAATTAAGAAATAAAATTCTCTATATACGTGACTCAGGCTACGTAAGGTAGAGAAATGGTAATGTATACAAATTTTAAACAAAGCTATTAAATTGATTTATATTTAGAAATATGACTGCTGCGCATCTTAAATTGAATTGATTAATGTATTAATTTGCACAGGAAAAGATTAGAAAAATCGCAAAATGCTTTCCCGGGCGTACAGAGTTGAAGAATAACGGGTATCCACCCTTTTAGACAAACAGGTTTGATCATAAATCAAGTTTTGCCACATTTGGGAAATCCTTTTTTGGACAAACACAAATAATATAATAAGCCGAGGGGCGCACAGGCCATAAATAAAGTGTTAAGGTTAGACGTTAGGCACATAATGATGTTTTTTCCCATTTTAGTAGCTGTTGCCAACAACAAAACGTCGACGGCCGGCGATAAGATAAAGTTAGCCAAAAGTCAAAAGACAGACCAAATTTTAGCTCAAACTTTGTGCAGTAGTATGTAGTATTATTGAGTGGATTTTTATATAATTATTTAATTTTATTCAAATTCAAATTGTTGTTTCTTTTAGTTATTACAACGCTTGATAAGACACAAAAATGTTCTATATATTTTGTACTCAATTGCAACTAGGATAGAGAATAATCTCTATCTATGAACAATCGATAATGCAATACAGATAACGCACTTGAATCTATATCATATATGTTTTACTTTTTTTTCAGGGCTGAGTCATAGGGTTCACACTCTTAGCTAAACTAAACTCCTTTCGAAATGTCTGAGGTATGATAAGAAAATGTCAAGGCTATAGGTCGGGCTTCAATTTGAATAATATTTCTGGAAGCTACTATTTCTTGTTGGTTGAAAGACCGCTGACAGGAGGACTCTAGGGAAATTTATTGGAGCGGAAATATTAGCTAGGGGGGCAATCAGTGGGCCCAGATGGTCTGATAATGGGCACCCACCATTATAATAAATGTAATTCCTCTGCGCTTCGCTTTCGGTTTCATTTGTTGCACAGCTGATGATGATCATGGGGAAACCAAGACCGGGGCATTTTCACTAGTTTCTGCTTGGCTGGGGGGCTATCCTCCGCTTCCCCTTCAATGTATGTATATTACAGCACACAAAAATAGCACGCAAAAGCACAAAGGCGGATATATTTATGAGCTGCACACACATATGTTTGTGTTGTTCAGTTAGTGGAACGCTCCGGCACCGATCATCGCGCGAGCGTTAAAGTTTTCAGACTGAAGTGAGTACATTTACAGCCGATCTTCACTGCGTGTGTGGGTCCATTATACTCATTCTCTCTGTGATTCAGCGACTCTCTTCCACTCACGAGTTGATTTTGAGTAGTTTTGGAGGCAACAGTTCTTCGTTCTTCGAGTGCCGGCAACTCGTATCTCTTATTAACTCAACACAGCAACTCGGCAATTAATTTCCATCACGAGTTGGCGGCGCGCGTTAGCATTGGCTTAATAAATGTATCCATAAACAAACAGAGAAATTCCTGCCAAAAGAAGAAAAGTTTCTGAAAATTGAAATAAATTTAATTTGCCACATGGACAAACGGCCTACGCAGCGCTCTGCCTTTGAGCAATTAACAGAAATATTTGAATTGTAAAACCCAGCTAATCGGCAAATTTAAATGCCGATGCATGAAAACATTTCTAACTATTATATTTACAGGTTTTTTAAGACCGAAAAACACGTACTTGAGTAAATAAATAAAATGTAACACCCAGGCTATAAAAGAAAAACCTGTAAACTTTATTACGAGAGTCAAAAAACTTAATAGGAGGTAATTTAAAATTAACTACCCAAAATTATAGGCTGTGTATAAGTTGTATACTAAAAATAAACACTCATCGTAATAAAATTACAACAAAGTGTGGCATTCAACTAATTGGGGATGATCTATATATAAATCGGTAGGATTTTGAAGTTTCTTAAAAAGGTTTCCCCACTATAGTTTATATATTTATATAAAATATATATCATTTACTATGTTTATTTGCATACAGTTGCTGAATATAAAATATTAGATTCTAAAAAAGCTACATTTATACGTTTTTTCCTACTTTACAAAGTTTATTGCATACTTTTAGACACATTTACAAGAGATTTAAAAGCCGCAGTAATACCTTTTGATAAGCCCATATTTTAAATAAAATTAAATCTTTAAGTTTGTAAAAATATATTAAATATTGAAACATTTTTAAACCTCCTCACGCTGCTAATCATAAAGTGTGATTTCCCCGCAGTGCTAAGCAAGTTTCTTGGTTTCTTTACACAAAAAAAAAAAAACAACTCAATTTTTGAAACTAGTTTTCAACGCCCGCCAGCTGAGTTACAACCAACTGGTTTATCTGATCTAGGTAGAGCTTATTTGCAGGAGAGCCTCGGGGAGCTCCGAGCTCAAGCTCAGGGCTCTTGGTTGAACGAACGCTGCTCACCAGTGTTTTATTTACACGTACTCGCTTGGCAAACATTAAATGTTGATCACGTCACGATATCATATATACTACATATAAGGTATAAGCACTCCCCAGCGATTACTATCCGATGTGCGCCGCTTCTGTTGTCTACAGCACTTTAGATTAGGTTCTTTGAACTGCACGCAACTGAACTTGTTTCGATAATTAAGGAGCAAATAATTTGTAGTAATTGAAATTTGATTATGCTCTGCAGGTGCTCAGATATATAGAATTTGAAATAATAATCTAATTGCCACGTTACAGGTTCAACAGTCGCGTATATGAATGTGGCGTGGCTATCCACGCCCATTAACTAGCGTGTAATAAGCACTTGAAAACGTTGACAGAAAATTATAAACATTTGCCTAAAAGGGCAAGTTTATGAAAGGAAAGTTTTCGAGTGAGCAGAGGAAGGGATAGTCTTTAATAAAAAATAATAACAATAAAACGATTCAACTGGTAAAAATCCCAGGAAAATAGAAATAAACATATGATTGAAATTGACTAACTGCGACACTCTCGATTCGGCCTACGTGAGGTCTAGGTGAGCATACTGATTGATAATAAATTGAACAAATATATGGAGAGAACACCCCACACCTAACCCAATTGAAAAGCAAACTCACGACCTTCAAATTAAATTTGAATTAACTTCCAAGTGACGCCAGTTCGGCGTACATAAGTCAATTAATTTCCATTTAGCTGTCATTAGTGTTCATTAAAAGGAAAACTGAAAACTGTTGACTCAAAGGCAACATCCCATGAAACGTGAAACTCTCAAAAGCTGCTAATTGGGGCTATTATGAAGTGAGGGAAGATTTCGCCAATTTCTCAACAAACACGAGAGACTACCGGGGGGAAAAGCCGGCACGAATTAAAGTGACAAAATAATTTCTGTTGATTAAATCTTATTTAATAATTAATAACTGACGTTTCTTTTCAGGTTTCCTCTTATCTAGTTAAATCTGCAAGAACTGGTAAGGAACTGGTTTAAAGCCAGTTAAATGCTGAGTAAACTAACTTAACCGGCTTAGGATGCCGCTGAGATTTTTCTAAGGTTGCAAATATCTATATTATTAAAGCAGGGGGAAAATATTCCCGGAAAAATAAGAAAAGTGGGAATTTATTGTCTAAACTCATGACTTAAATATTGGTGGGAGTATGACTCATAGTCTGTGTATTGAGGAACCATGAGATTTTTTAAATTAAATCCACATTTGTTCAATATTTAATTCTTGTTATCAAAAATGATGTAGTTTGCACTTTGAATTCATAAATGCAAAGCAAATCATCATGAAATAATTATGTACTGATAACTATTGACGCCCATCAATACGATACACCCACTGAAATGCCTGTTAATACGTCATATTTCATGGATTTTCTTATCGCTTTCATATCTTCTCTATAAATTGAACCTCCTAAATTAAGTATAGTACTAACCAAGCTGATAATAAAAACCAGGTAAGAAACTGAACAAATTGACTCATGATGTACCGCATTGTGACGACATTTTCAATAAGAGTGCCACCTGCTAAAACCTTCTTTGTTGAATTATTATTTCAAAGCTTACATGGTAATATAAAGTTCATAAGAAAATGAATATTTAATAAAAATATCGAAAAGTTTGTAATAATATGGATTATTAATTTATAAACTCAATCGATATCGCTACTGTACACTAGTATACTTATTCACAACTATTTCAAATCTACTATTTTATATATTTTCTTATTTTAAAAAAATATATTTAATTTTCATGCATTTTACATATTTATTAAACAGAATTCATGCGATTTGTAACGATTCTAGGGGAACAACACCTTCAGCTAAGTACTCACAAAGAATCCATTTGGGCAAACGATTATTAGAAGATTTTCTGATTATGAGTGCAAACTTTGACCCGGCTAAGTTGTGCTAAGCGTAAGCTGAAAGAGAAGCGCTGATGTTAGCTACTTTGTACATATATTTTAAATAGTGTGTCACGGAATATTAAAGTCAGATGCCAAAAGTTGAGTCCCCCACAAGAGAAAATAAAAATATAACAAAAATTTAACCCCAAAATTTTTTAAAACCTCAAAGATTAGAATTTTATGAGACTAAAAATAGTATTACTATTTTGTTCTATTTATCTAAAATATTAAAAAAAAGAAACTCATTATAAGAACATGATTTCAATGTGTTAAAAACTAGGACTTATGTTAAATTCTTTTGAAATTATTCCATTTATTTGTTATGTTATGTATCTAGGTACTTATAAAAAGTATCTTTAAAGGTATTGCCATAGCACCGGAGGGGGAATATTTAATAAGCCCACTGCCTAACCCTATTAAATAAATTCTCATTCCGACTGTCTGGTTATGCAGTTCCCTCCCCAAAAGCTGCCCACATCCACGACGCGTAATTTTATACGGAATACAGAATTTTCTGCCTACATTTACATATTATTTTACCCTTGGGCTGGCTGTGTACATTATATCCTCTTTCTGTCCCCGTGACTGGGTTTGCTTAGCGCGTGCCGTCGGCGTTTGGAAAAGCAGAAGACATGCCACCAACAAAAGCCAACTGGGCTGCGAGCAATACTATAAACGAATTAAGTGGATGATGATGTCTCGCAGAAATTGACTTCTTGCACTGACCTGCCCTCGATTTCGTGCAGCGGAAAATTGCGAGCGTTGCAGAAAAATCACAAGTATAAACAGAAAAATTTAAATATATATGCATGTATCCATATACATAAATATGCCATCACACGAAAGTTGCTCAGGGGATATCAATTAAACTGATTGAATCACTCTTAAATGAAACGCTTTGGCATTGTCACGACAGTTGGGTGGTAGGGCATAGCGGGTGTAGATTGGAAAAGTGAAATTGAGAGTACCTCACAGGTTTTAGACATTACAGTCTAGTCTGGACTAAAGATTCTGAAAGCGTGGGTTCTAAGGTCGATTTCTTTATAACATAAGTATTCTCTACGATTGTAACGATACTTATTACTTATATAATAAACGTAGAAATTGTATTATAATTATTTTACTAGTTATTCTAAAGTTGGGATATAACAAAGCAAATTTTAATAAAAATGTAGTGTAAAAACAACCTGCTGACAAAGGCAGAATGTCTGTTCCGATTTGTTATTAAATTAAGCTGATAAAATAACAATAAATGATATTAGATACCAATTTTATTCTTAATTCATTATGAATTTGCCAACTTTTACTAACTTAAGTATAACTAATCATAGAAACAGGAGGGAATAAACCATTTTTTTAAACAATAAATCTTTATAGTGTTTTTTATGCCTCCAAAAGTATGCAATGATCTAAAGTAACGTCCATTAGTATGTATTTTATAGTCGATACACCTGTACTAGTGGTATATTTACTGCGCAGATACACATGTTGAATCCCACATGCACTGGCTTATCTAGATATTGCTTAGACATTGATAACTCCGCTTTGTTGGCGTTTAACGGCACTCTTCGTATCGACCTCAATTCACACTTAGGGACTGCCGCATCATTTCTGACCGTTTTGTCATTGAAAGCAAGGGTTCCCTGTACCCGCCTATCAGACTTTGGGTGCAAGTAAATAGACACAAATATTTATTTGCAGACACCCAGATAATTTTTAGTTTTTTTTTTATGTGGCTAAAAATGATAAAAAATATAATGTGGAAAAAAGCAACAACAACGAAGAAGACGCCAAAGCACAGCGAATCGAAGTGAATGAACGTAGGTAAGGGTGTGTGTGTGTTTGTTTGTGCCAGTATATGTACATATGTATGTGTATTTGTTGAAAGCCCGTTACTTATGGCGAATGACGATGTGCAGAAGAGAGGGCGAAGAGAGAGGCGCTCAAATTATTGTTCGCTCGGTGCGAGTTAAGTGCAATTTGGGTGCAAATGTACTGGGCGAAAAGTGGGCGGCGCACAGTGGAAGAAAAGAGGGGAAAGTGGGCATATACACCGCGAAATGTCAAGGCCAAAATGCATTATTTAAGACAATATACGGGAATGGACTTCTATTCTATTTCTATGCTGGCTTAGCAACCATGCTAGACAGAGATCCCAAAAAAAGAATTTCAGTTGTATAAATATCCGTGACGAATAATTTTGGCACTGTACGATTCTAGGAATATCAGACGTGATAAATCAATATTATTTACAGTGTAATTACCGTTCACGTAATGCCAAACAGAATTTTCTGATTGCAGACAGGTAATTTATGACAATACTAGTTAGACGAGACTTAAGCCTATGACTATACCTAACGGGTGATGGTTTTTAAAGACTTTACTTTGTGAAATTTAAAATATTTTAAAGGTTTATAATCAGAAACATTTTTGATCAATCATATTTTCTTTCTGTGCAACAACATAAGCTCAGATCGTTGGGTGTTTGTATGTGTCTGTATTGTTTATATCCGTGAGTCAGTTGTTCAGCACTGTGCACCTGGAATCGCTTGTTAATGAGTCAGAACTCAGCACGCGACAATGCAAGAAATGCTAACTTGCACAAAATTATGTGCTTGCGTATTTTTATGCTTTTGTTGTTGGTAAGAGAAGAGGCGCACTCACCTAATACTTTGCGCAAACAAAAATAAAAGTCCAGAAAACTGTGTGTCCCAGATGATGTGGCTTCACTTCGCGTGGTCCTCTTATTGCATAAATAATCCTGTTTTTTTTCACTTTGTTGTTTTTCGTTTGTCACATCCTTTTTAGAGACGCGCAGTTCCCGTTTCCAAGTTGGCTTGCGCAGCACCGATTGCTTAAGCTCTAAACTACTATAACTACACAAGCACTGTCACTTTCCGAACCCAACGATGGGCAGTTTGTTGTTCTTTGCGGAATCTAATTATATATATTTTTTCGACTCGCGAATCGTGACAATAAAAAACAGTGTGGCCAGATGAGATTTTGTTTTCAATCTCTAAAAGTTGAAAATTTCCTCCTAAAAAATCCACAGCTTATATTCGAACCACACCTGATACTCAAACCACACAAATGTTGCTGCAGTTTCTCATAAACAAACTATATTGTTTAAATATAATAGTCCCTGCGGTGTTTGTTCACATGGCTAGTGATGCTATTCAAGAATATATATCGTTAATGTAGTAGGAGGATTATTGGCATGCTTGGCACTAAGCAAAAATACCTTGTATTCATTTTGTTAGAGCACAATTAGATGGAGTAAACTAAACAAAAGGTATGAAATATTTTTAAGCAACTTGAAATTCTCAACACAAAGACGATTATCTATTGCATAAAGACAGTTTCTTTAAATGAAATAGGCGTAAATATCATTTAATTGGGCTTTGAATGCTTTCTCGAAACATTTCCTGGCGTAGCTTGAGGTGCGACACCACCTCTTACTGGTATTTTGCACTTCCAATTAACTTTAGTTATAAATTAAGAGTCAATCCATTTCTTAATTCATTTAAGTATTCGTCAAACTTGAAATCGTTCAGAGTTTTCATTGAATTTAGTGAAAAATACATTATTCCGAACCTTGCCACTCACTGCTTGAACTCAAAACGTAAACAACACTATATCCGAGCCCTCTTATAATCCTTGATGAGCAGCTTTTGTGAACACAGATAACTCGGAAAACTCTGCTTCTGAAAATACCCTTTGAAACGCCTTGTTTAAGCCAAAAGTAAATCACAAAGTCCGAACGTGTTTACGTTAAATTACAAAGGGAATTCGCTTTATTACCAAATCAAGTTCTATTTATTGTTAACACATATTTAGAAGTTCCTGCAATGAACAAAAAAAAGATCGATTAGAAGCCTGCCGGGCCAAGGAGGGGCAAAAGAGAGACTTACTTGGTAATGAGGCCGTCCTTCTTGGCCAGACGCACAATGCAGTCATCGGACTCGCCCATGCGACGGATCTCGCCGCAGATGGCGTAGGTCTTGGAGCCGTCGGTCTGGCGGCCGGTCTCTGGGTCCACATCGACGATGCTCAGCTGCACGGAGGCGTGGTCCTTGGCGTGGATGATCCTGTTCGACGCCGAGCTGTGAATTCAGGAGGGGGAACGGGTAAGTACTCGGGGGCACAAATGCGCGGGGAACACGTGTTTCACTTACCACTTGCGGGGCACGTACAGATCAACATTCTCACCGGCGTCGTTCTCCATTTTATGGGGCTGCAAGGGAGACAAAACAATTAGGATATCACCTAAAAACTTATTGTGGCTCGAACGGCCGGTTAACTCACTTTTTTGTAGAAATTTACAAATCTAGCGACCGCAACCGTCGGTGGAGGCGAAAAAGAGAAAGAAATGACAGTTGGACGTGAAGTTGGCTGCGCTGCGGGTGGCGCGCTCTGGCGGAAATGGTCGGTACTAATATTAGGGGGACCAGTTCTTGGTAGTTTTAGTATATTTTAAGTTATATTTAATTTTTATTAATTATTTTTAAATTGTTATAACTATAATATACACATAAGTAATATCATGTGGGTTATTGTTCAGCCTTGTTAGAGTCTATTTGGAATGAAGAATACTTATTTATGAAAAAATATTTGGCGCTAATTTCAAAATAACAATAATTTAAGAAACTATCATTAAAAGAGTTCACTTGTTCCTTTTATTATTCTAATTTAACCCTAACGGTAAATAATAAAATACTATACAAAGATACAACGAAAATATCGATCGAACGGTAGCTTAGTACATTTATCATTTTTCACAAACGGTCACACTCGGCGAGCCCAGTTGTAGGCTACGATTTCGCGTCGCGAAAATTATATTGCATATTATTCATTGGTGCATCAAGTAAATGGCTGATATTCTCCATAAATAAAGTGCACCGATTTCGTCTTTACTCAACTTTACTGTAGTCGGAACGTGAGTATTGATTTTTGGGCAAAATCAGTCAGTCAGGCGTGGAACGGGACACGGGGAGCGGGGGTACTTCTTTTGACCTCGCTCGGTGTCAGCACCGATTTTCGTCAATGGCAAGCAGGTTCCGTTATTTCAGGCACTTTTATAGCCTTACACTTCCTTCGATTTCGCGTGTGAATGTGCTGTGGGTGTGTGAGTGGACGTGTGGGAGTGGGAAGGATTGTTTTCACCGGGGTTAATATGCGCCATGTCTCGGAATTTACAGTCCACGTTGCCTATTTATAGGCGTCGCTGAGCATTCGCAATTCAAGTCGCGTGTATATTCAATGAACTTTCAACGGCGGCGTTCAACGCCTGAGGTCAGCCTTATTTGTTTGTGAACTGCTCTCGCACACAGCGAGAGTACTAAGAGAGAACTAAGTAGATAGGGTAGACGAAGACATATCCTACATTATTTTAAAGGAGCATAAGAAAACATTCAAATAATGCAGGTTTAATGAATGTTCGTTGATTAAAATCAATGGTTAACTATAGTTAAAACTATGGTTTTATTGTAAACACTTAAGTTTGTCCTTGGAATCAGCTAAAAATGATCTAAAAGCCATCTACTTGACAAAGAAATAAGGAAATATATTTTCTGTTTTTATTTTTATTTTTTACAATTTAACAATAAGTAGCATAACATTTAGAACACCGACAAGGAGAATTTAAATATCTTATAGACCCTTAGACCCTTTATTTATAATATATCCCTTGTTAGTTTTTCTTTTGACATAAGTAAATGTATCGATTCTTCATGATGATTGCAAACTGCTAGGCAATATAAAATTTAGCATGCCGAAACTTAGCTTCCTCTCTTGTTTTTAAGTAATTTAATTGTTATTATTTCTGTAATATTATAATTTAAATTAAAAAAAAGTTTTCGAAGTGAAATGTTGCATATTCAATAAACCCCAAACATTCCAGCATTACAGGGTATTGGAAAAGCTGTAGCTCTCTGTAGTCACTGTGGGATTAGGCTTTCTCAGTTGCTTGCCAACTTTGCCAGCAATCGGTCCCCTTCGCGTCGTTTGCTCTTCGAAAAGCCGAGCGGCGTGACTTTTGGTTTATTGTGGTTGTTTGTTTCTGTTGTGTTTCGGTTCCTGAGACTTCTTGAGGTGAGATCTCACAAGTGGCCAGGTTGCCTGTTGACCTTTTATTTGTGCAAATGATGATAGTTTTGCATAATATGTTAGCTCTTAGCAAAATTGAAGCGAGAGCGAAAAGATAAAATGAAATGAGATCATGATAACGCGAGATGCTATTAATAAACTGAGACACACAATAGCGAAAAGACCCCAGAGACCTGTAATAAAGCTGAAAAAATTGTTAACGAAACAGAAAGTGAATCTAATCAGTGGTCTCGTAAAAATATCACTAATTATAATAATACATAAAGTCTATAAATGTTCATTAGGCATTTAAATTTGTCTTTTGCGAAGCAGGAATGTATAATTGTTTTTCTGTTCGTTAAGAAAATTATTGTTCAACCCCTGTTATTTTTACAAATTGTTTTGTAATATTATAGGGATAGATTGCTGGTTCAATACTGATAAGATTTTAAAAAGTCATTGATCATTAATATCCCCACAAAATTTGGTAAGTGTCCGTCAAAACAAATCTAATCAGTATGTTGGGTTCCAAGAATACATATACATTTTTTAAAGGCGGACATCATATCAGTTTTTAGGCCTGAACTTCAAGATTATTTTTTACTTTAAACATATGTCCTATGATAATAAATACTATTAATATGATAGTTTATTAATCAAAGGTAATTATAAAAAAAGAGATTTCTTAAAAATGTAAACAAGCAACACATCTATCCAAAGTTACGCATATCAACTTAAAAGAATGACTCGTAAAGATGCACCAAAACACCTAATTAAGAATATTTTCAAACCAAAGAAAGGCTAATAAAGAAAACTGAGAAAAACTGTAAACTCATGATGTCACTGCAAAGTGCGTGTATGCCCTAGAAAATGCTGATGAAAAGCCACATGGAAAAAGTCCAAAAACTAAAACACTTTCTAGGTCAAAAGTTGAAAGGCAAAAGGCATGATGATGCGGCTCATAAAAAAAAGAAATAGAAAAAGCTGGAAACCAGAAAAAATGCGCTTGCATGAAATGCAATTAATAAGGCAACGAACAACAAAGTAAAAGCCCGCAGAAAGAAAAGAAAATGCTTCACTTTGTCTTACCTATTGCGTGTTGATAGAGCCAAGTCAGGACCGATCTGAGGGGCCGCCGCCTGTCAATTGTCAGGGGGAGTGACCATTAACAACACAGAAATTACAGCATGCAAAAAAATTAATAACTTTTTGCTCTGGCAATAAAATTCATGATGTGCAATATTGAACAAAAAGCCAATAATTTCTTTCAGATAAAATTAGTTTAAGTGGGTAGCTTTACCTATAACTTACCATATTATTAACAGTTGGTAACAGGAATATGCACTAGTCTTGTAATAGCTCACAGCCTTGAACCACGAACTGTTAAGATATTCTAGGTCCATTAAAAAGTAAAGGCCAATTATGGCCACACAGTGTGTTAGATATTCTTGAAGGTATTTATAGGTTTTTCAAAAGAATTTAGCAGTGGCCAAGGCTTTATTTTCATTAAAAATATGTAGAGAAATACCTTTAAGTTAGTGCCAGAATTTAAATGTAAATAAAATACTTGTAGTTTAAGTTGTTTCTCTGACGTCAAACACCTTTTCCTAGTTCGTGGTTTTAATGCAATTTTCTTCCCAGGAACTCCTCCCCTTGGGAGGCAAACTTTCCTTTTCCTCGTCTCTTTTTTTTTCTTTACATTCTAATTGCAGGCTTTGGGATTTGAAAACCTGTTGTAAACGCGTCGGCAACTTAATTCTAATGCAACTCGTGCCTTTTTGCCTCTCCTATTTGCAGTGCTTGACTTTTGGGAACTGGTCGCTTGGACTTAAACATTGAGGTTTGGAATCAAGTGCAGATGGCAATGATGCTGCTGCTTCCACAGTTGCCCGTTGTAGTTGGTGCGGCTGCTGCTGGTTTTCCCGGGATCTGATTTGGTGCCACTTGCTAGCTGGTGCTGCCTGTTGCACTATTACTGTTAGCCCGAAGTTGTGTTGCAGTTGGAGGAGCAGCGTTACAGTTTGGAAAATCGGTCAATGGAAACGGGCTTGTAAGCAGGTGCAATCGCTTGGAGAGCCGCTACAAACCCAGACCCAGAGGCCAGCACAGAGCGGTGCATGAGCATGTCGCTAAAGGTGAGTAAATGCTCAGGTATTGACCCATTTAAGACGGTAATTGACTCATTCGGAACCGGGCCTGATGGCTCTGTGATGGGAAACCGATTGGACGCATGGAGTTTGGGGAAAATAGCTAAAGAAGTAATCTTTATTAAATGGCATGTGTGTGTGATGGCGTAGAAATAACGAGATGATGGCCTGCCAGAAAGCTATTGTTTCTATTTCTTTGTTTGGCAATCAGATCTACTAAGTATATACATTGGTCTGGCGTATGTCTGAAGCTTTAAAAGTGTTTCTCACCTTCTACTGACAATTGCTACGCGCTGCCTATAAATATCTTCGTCATCATCATCATCATCAGGGGCATTATTATCATCGTAAAGGCATCATTGCCGTCATCATCGTTGTCATTATGTCATTCCGAAGTGCAGCAGCAGCATTTGCATTGTTTCCCTGCCCCAACGTCTTGCCTAGCCAACTTGAGTCACGTCATGTTCATGTGAGGGTTTTCACTTGTCTTTGCCCCCGTCTAGTAGCTAGGCCTTTCAACAGGTGCTTCAGTCCCTGCATTATTGCCTCCTGCCTGGCAGGCAACACACACACAAAGCAGCACATCTAGACCACTTAATTCGCTTCATTACCGCAAAGTTGACATTTTTACTCTGCATTTAGTTTGAAAAAAACAATTCCCTTCTTCCGCAAAATTGTGATGGGTCACCAGAGGAGATTTGTGGTGCCATATAACCCTAGGATGATATATTTATATGCATTTATATATAATATTATTTATACATAGTTAAAAAAGGCTTAAAAATATAATGGAATATATGAAGCTAGTGTTTTTAAAATCCCTAAAAAATGTGTTTAAAAGTATTCTAGTTTATATTATAAAAACAAATTGTGTTGCATACTTTTAGACACCTTCTTAAGAGTTTTAAAAACTATTTAATTATATTCTATTAAAATTAAAATTAAAATTAAATTACTTTGGTATTCTAAATTTAAACAAATTCATCTAAAAATCATTAAAGAACAATTTCCTTAAATAAAAAAAAAGAGGGTTAAGATACATTTAACATCAGAGCTAGGCAGCAGCAAAAGTATTAAAAAAATGCATTCAATGTGCAGCGACGTCCGCTGTTAAATAACTTTTTGCTGTTTGTAACTGGTATGACCCTAATTACAGTGAACAGGAAAAGTAATTTCCCCACATCGTCATCGTGTTTTCATCCACAGAGGCGCCCCGGATGAGGCAACTTTTGAGTGGGGGGAACGGGGCTGTGGGTGCCATTATCCAAATACCTCTTTGTTTTCATAGCTGCGGCTGCTCCAAGTTGTTAATTGATTTGATTCTGTCTTCACCCTCCTCCAAACAGAAAGAGACGCCGTCGGATGTGCAGCTGCACATGGCTGCCATGAGGGGCGATGAAGTGGCTCTGCTGAGAGTTCTGGACAGCGGAAAAGTTCATGTGGATTGCAAGGATGAGGTAAGTTTAATGTTTGATTTGATTGATATAGATTTGAGATTCATTTAGTTGGGATTAGATAAAAAATATATTATATTTTCGGTTGACTTAGTTGAGTATTACCTCCTCATTTCGGTTATGTGACAAGTTATATCAACTTACACATGCAATCCGTAAGGCGTTAAGCATGCCAGTCGAAAATAAAAGCAATTATTATTACGAAACATCTGTCAAAATAATTAATATATGTATGTTAACTCTTAACAACGTTAAAATCAGTTAACAGTTAACACTTTGTTGGCTTAAAGTACGCACCAATTGGCAAAGAAGACGAAAAAAGTGCAGCAAAACGAAACCGACAGTAGCCATAAGAAATAATAGTTGTTGAGCACAGTTGCCGAAGAAAGATATACCCTTTTATTTAGAACAAAATGTACATATAATTATTAATTTAATTAACACATTAACTGACTTTGTTAAATGCTTTTATTAGCAAATTAATAACAGATTTTCATGGGGAAGCTGCTGGAATAGTTAGAGCAAGTTTAAGTTGTTAATTTCAAGTATTTGGGCAATATTTTAATACCCCCTGCAAGTGTATATAAAAAAAATAAAATTAAATTTCACTTGACGCTCAGCGAAGCGTGGACCGAAGAGCAAAGTAAAGGAAAGTGGGCTGCGGGGGCACTGTGCCAGGGTATTATATGCCGGCTGGTCTGCCAGAGTCTACGGAAAGGGCATGCGGGCTCGGGCTCCACTCTACGTGACTCCCCCATTCAGTTCGGATTCAGTCCAAGTGCATCGAGAGCGATTTGCAATTGTGGCGCGATTTTTGCTTGGGGATATACCTGTCTTCATTCTGCTTTCCGTCTGCTTAGTTTTTGTCGAGTCCGCCGTGGCACAGACATGCATGCAAATCCACACGAAACGCTTTGGCTTTGAGTTGGTGAAACTAATCGCAATTTGCTATTCAAATCACTTGATGGTTGGTCCATTAAACAATTAAAGCAAATGGTTTTTCATTTATTTATAAAAAAAAACTTCGATTTACATTGCATTTCACACAGCAAAGCATTTCATTGGATTTGTTTACGTAGGTCATTGGATTAACTTAATTTGCAAAATTGTATTTTTATTTTTAAATTAAATCGGTTGAATTGTAAACTTCAGGCTTATTCAAGCTTTGGCATTTTGAAGTTAGTTTCTTATTTTGCTTCAAATAATTTATTTTTACTGTTTAAAGTTATATTTAAATTATTAAAACCAATCGCACCTCCTTTAACTTGGCAGGATGGAACGACTCCGCTTATTTTGGCTGCTGCCGGAGGTCACACCTACTGCGTGATGGAGCTGCTCGATCAGGGCGCTGATCCCAATTCTCGGCGCTTGACCGGCACCACGCCGCTCTTCTTTGCCGCCCAAGGTGGTCACCTGGACGTAGTGAAGATCCTAATGAAGGCCGGCGCCAGTGTGGACACACCTTCCGCCGATGGGGGCACACCACTCTTTGTGGCTGCCCAAGGCGGGCATGTGAAAATAGTTCGAGAGCTTCTGGACTGCGGAGCAAATGTGAATGCCCACATGAAGGTACATAGTTTATAAATAGAAATTCAATACATAAATATATAAAATTAAACACAATCTTATCTTCTCCAGGATCGTGCCACGCCCGTTTTCATATCCGCCCAGAATGGGCACCGTACAGTTCTGTCGCTGCTGATTCAGGCGGGTGCAGAGATCGATATCAAGCGCATCGACGGCGCCACACCCCTTTGGATAGCCGCCCAGATGGGCCAGGATCACATATGTAAGGTGCTGCTGCAGAATGGAGCAAACGTGGATACGGTGCGCTGCGACGGTGCCACTCCGCTCTTTAAGGCCGCCCACAAGGGCCACGCGGCGGTCATCACGGTTCTGCTCAAATACCGCCCCAATCTCGGCCTGCTGCCCAATGGGGAGACGGCACTCCACGCGGCGGCCATGTTCGGTCACATGACCGTCTGCAAGCAGCTGGTCGGCGCCGGCAGCGATGTGTTGATGAAGAACCAGGAGGGTCTGACGGCCCTGCAGCTGGCGCACCAACAGAAGTACACCTCCATCTGTGATTACCTCCAGGAGCGGGTTCGGACGATGGTGGCGCGCAGCGCAAAGGCGATGGTCACGTCCGGAGTTGGTTCTACAATCCCGACAATGTCGGCGTAAGGGGATGTCCGCGAATCAGAGACCATGCCTCCCAAGTACCTTTATGCACAATACGTTGGCCTTTTTGCTTATGTTGAAAGAGAAAGATAAGTGTAGAGAGAGTGTTTATGGCAGAGGTGCTTGCACAGTGTCCGCGAGGGTCCCGCGGTCTGCGGGACTATGGGAAAACGAGGGATATGGATTGGCGATGAAATGGTATGACTTCTCTCTACCCACTGGGAGCTTCAGTCGCGTTACTGTTAGTCAGAGTTAACCATAACCCTAACTGGCATAACATTCATTTTGATTCTCAACTTTCTAGAGAGATTTATCAGTTAAACGGTTAACTGTTAGCTCGGTTAACTGGTTAAGTTTTCTATCCTTACTGTTTAGTTTACTGGAGTTAACATTGACAGGAAAAGGAGAAAAATCAAAGTCCAGATTAATGCTAAATTAAATTTGATTGATTCTACAAAAGTCACCATAGAGAGAAACCAAGTCAAAAGGCATCCCTATCCATATCCCCACATTTGCGTGTGCCATAAACACTTAATCTAAAAACTAATTATCCCAATAAAAAATCCACTAGTACGAACACGTCCAAGCTAAACTAAATGGCAAACCCCATGGAAAGCAAACTATATATATAATACATATATTAGATAAACCGTATCATCCATATTAACAACCACTTGGAGCTTGTATTTTGAATTTAAACATTAACCATAACAATAATGTTTAGCTATTATAAAGAATGTTAACATGGACCCAGAATGATAATGTTACAATGTCCCCTGTACATAACCATTAATATACACACACACATACTAATATTTAATTATGTATATTTAAAACTACTTATAGTCCTACTTTATCCCTAAGCAATTGTTGACAAGTGCTTTACGTTTAAACGCCTTTTTGTCCCTAAATTAGCTATTAATAATAATTACACTGAATGGGTTTTGCTTAATTTTCTGTAAACTAGATACGACAATTAATTACTTCCTTACTTTATTACGATTTAAGTGTAGCCCACAATTTTGCAAGTTTAATAAAATGACACACGATTACTGCAGAGTGGTTTTTTTTTATTAATTTTTGATGAAAAGAGAAGAAGGAAGCTGGAAATGTCAAGCTTTAATGAAGAAAAATTTATAAAAAATGTGCCTAAAAGCATGCAAAACATTTGTTTGGAATAATAGTAGTTTGCAGTAATACCCCTAGATACATTACGGTCTCGTAAAAACATAATTACAATAATTATAATTTGATTTAACATATGAATTATTTTATAGGAATTAATTGTGTTCAGAATTATTTAATGGATTCTACCAAAACGGTAATTGTTCTTCCCAAACTACCCTATGATAATGAATTATTGTTTTATCTCAGGTAGATAAATAATCTTATTCTTTTTATCGATCAGGAATTCATTGCATTTAGAATTGATTATTTTGCTTTTATCCACCAAATTTTACTATAACATTCTTCTATTTAAGGATCTATATATGTATTTGTCATTTACAAAGAGTACTTTTTTTAAAACTTATATTTGAACAACTGTTCCATGATAAACCTACTTCCAAACCATTTGATCAGAACCAGTCGACATCTTTGCCACTCAGTCGATTGACAAACGCATTCGGGTTAAGTTCGAGCTGAACAGCATATTGTCTTAAAGTTTTGACGTAACATAATGGTAAACAACAGGAGATTCGAGGCAAAACCAACTTGCTGTTGACTCAAGTGAACTTCAATCGTTTCAAGTTGAAAAGGAAATTTTAGTTGACCTGAAATACATAGCTCCTTAAGTAAAAAGATGTCCAGCGCCAGTCTTCTGTCACGGTCCTTGCTGACGGAAGGTAAACCTAAAATCTATTTCGGAGGATACTATGATCATTCTTCCCTCTAGAATCTAGACTCCCACTGATACCCATTGTTTGCTGTACATGTGTGGCATCTATTTGCAGCTCCTCGATCCACACACCGTTCCATTTTCACTCTCATTGTCGGCCTGGTGGTGGGCTATTGCCTAGCAGTGCTTTTTTCAAGTATTTCGCCGCACGAGAGTCTCTATCCCTACTTAAGTCAGCGCCTGCGCAGTCCCCCGATCTTACATGATGGAGGAAAACAGCTTGGTCTGGCTGAGGCACCCGAGCACAATCCCTTTCAGCACGATCATCCCGATGACAACACCACCGTGGCCGAGCAGCTGAAGCGGGAAGTGCGCATCCTTTGCTGGGTTATGACGAACCCCACCAACCACAAGAAGAAGGCGCGCCACGTAAAGCGCACGTGGGGAAAGCGCTGCAACATCCTGCTCTTTATGAGCTCCGGCCAGGACGACGAGCTGCCCACGGTGCGGCTGAATGTGGGCGAGGGTCGCGAGAACCTGTGGGCCAAGGTCAAGGAGGCATTCAAGTATGTGTATCAGCACCACTACAACGACGCCGACTGGTTCTACAAGGCGGACGACGACACGTACGCGGTGATCGAAAATATGCGCTACATGCTCTATCCGTACAGTCCCAAGACGCCCGTACACTTTGGCTTCAAGTTTAAGCCCTTTGTGTCGCAGGGCTACATGTCGGGCGGCGCTGGCTACATTCTCAGCCGGGAAGCACTCCGGCGATTGGTGGTAGAGGGCATTCCCAATCCGAAGATATGTCTGCCGGGAACGGTGGTCAACGAGGACATAGAGATCGGACGCTGCATGGAGCACCTGAATGTGACGGCCGGTGACTCAAGGGATATGATGGGGCGCGGACGTATGTTTCCATTTGTCCCAGAACACCATCTGATACCAGCCAAATGGGACAAGAACTATTGGTATTGGAAATACCTCTACTATAAGACTGATGACGTAAGATGCTTTTTTTCAAAATTTAATCAGGCTTTTTCTGATTTCAATATCCACTCACTTTTATCTTGCGCACAGGGTCTAGACTGCTGCTCGGACCTGGCAATTTCCTTTCATTATGTGGCCCCAAATCTGATGTATGTCTTGGACTATCTAATCTATCACCTGAAGCCGTACGGCCTAATGCGTTCTCTGGAGTCATTGCCCGCCAAGCTCGAGGTGGGTCAGTTGCTTCCTGCTCCCATTGAAAGACCGGCGGCCAGCAACGAGGACTCTGTGGATGATTATGACAGGATTTACACGACAACAACTGAGAAACCCAAGGAGCCGGATGCCCGGGAAATGGACTCCAAGGAAGTAGAAAAGGAAGAGGCCAAGTATAGGGAAAAGGAATTAAAAGATGCAGAAGACGAAACAGAGGAAAGGGATGAGGAATCGAAGGAAACTGATGAGGACGCGGATGAAGACTCCAAGGAGAAGTAGACACCCCCGGAATAAAAATAAATTAATGGGATAATCAACCACTACATCATGTCATATTAGGTATATAAAATCAATGTTTATAAGTGTGTGTAAAGAACATAAAATTAATATTTCAGTCACGACTACTATACCATATATATTTAATTAGGAAAAGCAAAAGAAAAAAACCTTAAATTCGAATGAAATTTTAATTAATGATTCAGGGGTCAGAAGAGCTTCGCTTTTTTCCACGAATAAACATTCTTTATAAATACCATTTAAAAAAAAATAATTATACTATAACGTGATAAGCCTCTTGGCAGTGGTGAATTGAAACGTATAAATTAAGGAAACGCCACCAGTTTAACTCAATTCGAATTCTCCTCTTGGGCGAACAAGGCGTAATGGCTCGTCAGTGGATCGTATCAGCTCTTATTTTGGGCTCTATTCTTTTTGTCCAAGCCAGCCTACCTCCAAGTCGGTGCGTTCCTGAGGATCTTTGCTCCGAAGAGGTGTTGTTTGAATGCACCCACGATAACCGTTTATCACGCGCATGTACGATCATTAACGATTTCTGTCAAGAAATAAAAGAGGTAAGTAGAGAGAGGTCCTATCTTATATTATATTTCTTATACCATATTTCTAATCGCAGCCTGAAAAGAAAAATGAGAAATTTGTCCAGCCCATGACAACCAAAAAGCCTGGTTATGGTTCTTTAAGTAAAAATCCCCTCGACCTGTGCGGCCGGAGCAATCCGAATGGTCTGTACGAAAACATGGAAGTATGTGAAGGTCAGGCGTATCCTGGGGAATTCCCATGGACTATCGCTGTCTTCATTAACGGCACATTCATAGGCGGCGGTACCATAATTGCCCCAGGAGTTGTGCTCACTTCTGCTCACAAGGTGCGCCACGTATCCGAGGCCGACATTGTGGTCAGAGCTGGAGAGTGGGACCTTTCCACCACTGACGAAGAGTTCTCCTACGAGGAGAGCAGAGTGAAGAAGATAGCGCGCCATGAAGAATTTAATTACCGAACTGGAGCCAATAACTTGGCGCTTCTCTTCCTGGAGACACCGTTCGAAATTAAAGACCATATCCGGACCATCTGCTTGCCCAAAGAGGTAAAGTCCCTTGCGGGAAAACGATGCATGGTTGCCGGATGGGGAAGGCAGACGTACACTGAGGCGCATAACTCGGACATCCTGAAGAAAATCGACTTGCCCATGGTAAGCCGTGACACCTGCCAGAGACAGTTGAGGAAAACCGTTATGGGGCGCTCTTACTCCCTGGCTCCTAGCTTAATTTGTGCCGGCGGCGAGCTCGACAAGGATGCTTGCCTGGGAGACGGCGGATCAGCCCTGTTCTGTGCTCTCGAAGATGGTTCGGATCGCTACGAGCAGGTGGGCATCGTCAACTGGGGCATTCAGTGCGGCAAGAAAGACGTCCCAGCAACGTACACAAATGTGGCCATGTTCAAGGAGTGGATTGATTCGAAAGTGGCAGAAAATAGCATTTCACTCCTAACCGACGGGACAGTACATTAAATGTTCGTATGCCGAGCTTTTCAGATGAATGCTATTTTAAGAATAAAAGTCTTTGAATCCTTTATTTATGCTTTTCAAGGCAAATATAACAATGAATAAGTCGAGTTGTAAAAAATGTATAATCTCTTTTGATGTCAACATACATATATGATGGCGGAATTAAATGGGAAGTCTCGCAAAATAGACTTGATAAGCTTGGAAGGTGGTCTTGGTGCGTGCATTACGGATCACTACGGCCACCAAGTGATAGCACTTTCACGGCTGTCTGACACTCATAAAAGTGTCTTGGTATGCGTGGTGACCACCGGTATAAAATGCGGCGGCCCCAGGTCTTCTTTAGTCAATTCAAGATTCTCTACGCAGGCAAATAATGGCACGACAGTGGATCATAGGAGCTCTACTCTCGATATGCTTCCTCTTAGGAGATGCCTGCAATAGCTCGGAGCAGTGCGTTCTTGAGGACCATTGCGCAGTAGAGGCGAATGCATTTGCGTTCCGTTCATTATCATGTAGGCTTCCTTACGTTTGCTGTCAAGAAATCAAAGAGGTAAGCAGAGCAGTTTCCTATCACAGCACATATTTCTGTATTCTCTAATTTTTCAAGCCGGAAAGTGATCAGTCATTAACTGAACCCAACATGGCTAATGAAGGATCTCCCGATTCCCAGCTTCCAAGGTCGGAGCATAAAGTGAAGAGTTTTGAAGCTGAATCTGACGGTGACGACTGCGGCCTAAGCAATCCGAATGGTCTGGACGCTGATTTGGAAGTAAAAGCAGAACAGGCAAGGTGTGGTGAATTTCCCTGGGCGATCGCTGTCTTCAGTAACGGCAAATACCTAGGTGGCGGCTCCCTAATCGCCCCTGGAGCTGTGCTCACTGCTGCTCACTTGCTGCGTGGGAAATCCGAAGCCAATATTGTGGTCAGAGCTGGAGAGTGGGACCAGTCCATCGCAGTTGAGCGGTTCCCCCATGAAGAGCGCAGCGTGAAAGACTTGGTGCGCCATGAGGAATTTAATTACTCATCTGGAGCCAATAACTTGGCGCTTCTCCTTTTGGAGACACCGTTCGAAATCCAAGAGCATATCCGGACCATTTGCTTGCCCAAGGAGGTAAAATCCCTTGTGGGAAAACGATGCATGGTTGCCGGATGGGGAAGGCAGTCGTACCCTGAGAAGTATAACTCGGACATCCTGAAGAAAATCGAATTGCCCATGGTAAGCCGTGCCACCTGCCAGAGACAGTTGAGGAACACCGTTATGGGGCGCACTTTCTCCCTGGCTCCTAGCTTAATTTGTGCCGGCGGCGAGCTCGACAAGGATGCTTGTTTGGGCGATGGCGGATCTGCCCTGTTCTGTGCTCTCGAAAAGGATCAGGATCGCTACGAGCAGGTGGGCATCGTCAACTGGAGCATTGAATGCGGCAAGAAGGACGTCCCGGCAACCTACACTAATGTGGCCATGTTCAAGGACTGGATTGATCGGCAGTTGGAGCGTCATTCAGAGTCAGACGTTCAATATGAGCCGTTCAGTGATTACCAAAGACTAATGGTAAGAGTACCAACTATTAGACCACAAAGACATTTAGAGGAAATCATAATCAAATTGTAAGTCAAACTTGCTAGTTGAGTTTTACATTTTAGTTGTGTCAGAAGGTAATAGCCTTCGTTAACTTTTTAATTGACTTTGATATTAAAAGAATAAATGTCAGATTTTTAAAACAAGACAAAGGATTATTTTTTTTTTGCTGAAAATACAAATTTGTACTTTTGGTACCAAGATTGAATTTAAACTTTAAGTATATATATTAACAGGCATATACAAATGTAAGCGTTTTACCTAATGAACTCTGCTTTATAAAAGAATACGAGGAAATGAGCTAGTAGTGTGCTGGCTAAAGGTTTAATGCCATCCATTGCACAACGTAAGTTAATAAGTAGGAGTCTATTAGAATACGATGGTTTGCTTCCATTTAAGCCGCATCAAGCGAAGAGTAAAAAGTTAATTTCAACTGGTTCAAGATCGAAGTATATAAGGACCATTGAGTTTCTTTGACCAGCTTTTATATCCAAAAGAAACTTTATTCACCATGCATGGTATATGATCGATAAAGTCAATTTTAGGGTCCAGGTATAGTAATTCTTTCCAAAGAGCAGCAGTTCAGTGTATAAGTCCCAAGAGAGAATGTCATTAGCTTGCATTTAGAGTTCAAAGGTAAGGTTTTGTGATGAAAGAAGTGAGCTCAAAAATATTAGTTATCATTGATCTTCGCTCAATAAATCCTTCCAAGGAAGATGAATCTTGATTACGGATATACCAGGCCGCGCCGAAAATCCCATTCAGTGTTTGTAACTGCGACATTGAATATTTAACTTTTTTATTAATATAAAATGTAAATTCTTGGAATAAGCTTATTGGGAAAACGGTCCTGCAACCAATAACCCTGCTAAATGTGCTTTGACCACATTCCCCTTGAGAAGTCTCTCCTTCCCTGGAGTTTTTCTCTTTACACAGCTCATTCCTCAAGTCAAGGAGCACACATCCCCCTGACGAACTGCAAGAGCTTGCTCGACATCTCAGCTGCCAATTCCATTCAAAATTATTTCAGAGAATTAAGCAAAAAATCTACAGTATCAATCTCTGACGTCAATTGAGATGCTGTCAAAATTTGAGAACTTGCGGGGTTTTGCTTCCTCCACGAAGTTGGTAGTTCATTATAATAAATTAATAGAATTGCCCTTGCCAGGCTGAGCAAAGCGGGCAAGAGGGGTTGTAGGGACTTTGAAGAAGAAGGGAAGACGGGTGTAAGACTTTTCGAGGACCGCCCGACTACCATTCGTCAGGATCACCGATCAAAACTTGACCGAGGACCTCCTTAAAGTTGCGCTCGCATGGAGAAAACATTCATACATAAACATACATATATGGTACGATACACATTTGAGTGCTAACAAGAACAAAGACGTAGAGGTGGTGGGGTCAAAAATTTTTCATTTGAATTCGGATTCCCCAGAAAAATATAAAGATTATACTGCTCTTAAAATATAATAATGAAGAATCCGATTTTTGAACAATTTATAATCTCTTCTAAAAACATTACTCAGAATTTAATGAGAGTTCTTGGAAATAGACTTGAACTTAAGAGCACACATCACTCACAGAAACGTGTTGGTATGTGTGACCGCTGGTATAAATTGGTGCGGCCCCAGCACTTTATCAGTCACTTCAAGATTCTCTTTGCAGACTAATAATGGCACGACACTGGATCATAGGAGCTCTTTTCTTGGGCTGTGTCCTTTTAGGCGAAGCCTGCAAAGACACGGAGCAGTGCGTTCTTGAGGAGCGGTGCGCAGAACAGCCTGCATTTACGTACCGTTCATTATTATGTCAGTCTCCTTATGTTTGCTGTGCGGAAGTCAAAAAGGTAAGCGAAGCAGGCTCCTATCATAGCACATATTTCTAAATTCTTTCTTGTTCAGGATGAGGCGAGTGCCTGCAAAGGCACGGAGCAGTGCGTTCTTCAGGAGCGTTGCGCAGTAGAGGCGCCTCCATTTACGTACCGTTCATTATCATCATCATGTCAGTCTCCTTACGTTTGCTGTGAGGAAGTCAAAAAGGTAAGCGAAGACGGCTCCTATCAAAGCATATATTTCTGAATTCTTTCTTGTTCAGGATAAGGGTAGTACCGAGAAAACTGGCTCTTCTGAAGACAACGAGTGCGGCCGGAGCAATCCGAATGGTCTGGACGAAAACATGGAAGTATGTGAAGGTCAGACGTATCCTGGGCAATTCCCCTGGACGATCGCTGTCTTCATTAAGGGCACATACATAGGCGGCGGTACCCTAGTTGCCCCAGGAGTTGTGCTCACTTCTGCTCACAAGCTGCGCCACGTATCCGAGGCCGACATTGTGGTCAGAGCTGGAGAGTGGGACCATTCCACTGAAGCCGAAGAGTTCTCCCATGAGGAGAGCAGAGTAAAGGAGATAGTGCGCCATGAGGAATTTAATTACTCAACTGGAGCCAATAACTTGGCGCTTCTCTTCTTGGAGACACCGTTCGAAATCAAAGACCATATTCGGACCATCTGCTTGCCCAACGAGGTAAAATCCCTTGTGGGAAAACGATGCACGGTTGCCGGATGGGGAAGGCAGTCGTACCCTGTGAAGTATAACTCGGACATCCTGAAGAAAATCGAATTGCCCATGGTAAGCCGTGACACCTGCCAGAGGCAGTTGAGGAACACCGTTATGGGGCGCACTTTCTCCCTGGCTCCTAGCTTAATTTGTGCCGGCGGCGAGCTCGACAAGGATGCTTGCCTGGGAGACGGCGGATCTGCCCTATTCTGTGCTCTCGAAGATGGTTCGGATCGCTACGAGCAGGTGGGCATCGTCAACTGGGGCATTGAATGCGGCAAGAAGGACGTCCCGGCAACGTACACAAATGTGGCCATGTTCACGGACTGGATTGATCAGCAGTTGAAGGGTCATTCTGCACAAGTGCGTCAACCTGAAGTTCCACGATTCCAATTCAGGAAGACATAAGGATCAAAACTAAATTAATAAGGAAGTCAAACTTGCCAATTGAATTAAATATTTCAGTTGTGTTTATCACCAATTAGCTTTGTTAACTTTATATTTGACTTCTAAATAAAATGAATAAAAACCAAACAATATTATTTTTTTGATTGCATAAATTACAAGTTTATACATTGGTACCAAGACTGAAGGTAGTGACGGTGGCCGATCAACTCTGAGTAAGTAGCAAGTCTCTACTGGAATAATAAAAAGGTTGGCATTTTGGCAGCCGTTGTTAACAAATAATTATAATATTATTATTGTTTGCTAAGCACCAAAATAATATAAATGAAAAATATATTCTCATGTTTACGCCGGTTTAATTTTATTTTATAAGAAAATAAACAAAAAGCAACTCAATTTTTCTCAATTAAAAAAATATTACCCTTACATTTTGAAAAAAATTACCCATAAATTGAATGTCCCTTAAATTTTGAAAAAAAAAATATTTAGGGAAAATAGCCAGAAAAACAAGAACATTTTTCCACATTCAAAGAAAAAAAGCCCTAGAAAGTTTATTTTTCCTGATCATAGGGCTAGTTTTGCTCAAAAATAGGGTAAATCTAGGATGTTTCTGCCCCGAAATGTGGTTATTTTATACCATTTTAAGTATATAAATATTATATACAATATCCGCTGATAGTTTATTGATCCAAATGCAAACTTTAAGGGTATACAAACTTCGGCTCAATTTCATTTCAAACATGTATGAAAATATATATATTATTTATATTTTGCATTTCTGTTTTCGTTTAATTCGTGGAACAAGCTAATTAAGAAGACGGAGATAAGCTTAAGTGGGATCCTCTGATAAGCTGTATAAGTATAGAGTCTGCGTTTCCACATTTTATTAGCGCTGCCAAGATGAACGGACACTGGCCACTGGGGCTTCTCTTTTTCGGCTGCTTCCTATTAAGCGATGACCGTGTGGTAAGTTACGAGCAAGTACTTTTGGCTGCGAGAACTGTATTCTGACACCGTTTTTCCTTACATTTACAGATAGGCGTATATGCAGACGGTAATCCAGATGGACTTTGCGGAATGAGTAACCCAAGAGGCCTGGGTGAAAATAAATTTAATGGTGCGCTGCCTGAAAAAGGGCAGTACCCCTGGATAACGGCCTTGCTCGAAAATGGCAAATACCTCGGCGGCGGTTCTCTGATTGCCCCAGGTCTGGTCCTGACCGCCGGTCACCTCATGTTTAACAAGTTGAAGACAGATATCGTGGTCAGGGCCGGCACCTGTTATTCTGAATTAGTGACGATTAGAGACAATCCCCCGCCTGAAAGTCGCCAGGTGTTCAGGATCATGGTGCACGAGACAAGTGACCTGGCGCTTATCTTCTTAAGCTCGCCGTTCGTACTGAAGCCCCACATCCAGACCATATGCTTGCCCAGACCAAGAAAGTCGTTCCGCTACGGAGACTGCAAGGTTGCCGGATGGGGAAAGAAATCGTACCGCCGTTCTGACTACTTAAACTACCTTAAGGTAGTTGACCTGGTCATGGTGAACAGAGATATATGCGAAAATAAGCTGCGTCACAAGTTAAGGCCGAGCTTTATACTGCCCAACAGCCTGATGTGCGCCGAAAGTGTGACGGGCTGGGGTATTACCCACGGCGATGAAGGAGCTCCCCTGTTCTGTGCTCTCGAAAGGGACCCACAGCGCTACGAACAGGTGGGCATTGTCAGCTGGAGTGTCGATCGAGATGTTCCGTCAACCTTCACCAATTTGGCCATGTTCAGGGACTGGATTGATCCCCATATGGCGCAAGTAGTTAGCGTACCTGGAAATTTTTAGATTAAAAATAATATTTAAAGCTTGTTTTAAGGAATAAATTATTACTTCCGAATCCAGAGAATCCTATTATTTTTTATTTTATTTAAAGGGATCTGCTAAAATTAATATTCATATTTTCCTGGAATACATATTATTAGCATAGGCATGTCTTAAGCTGATAGCGACAGTATTGCTTCTTATCAATAATTATAATGCTTCTGTTTGAAATATGTTGAGCCGAATCCATTGCGGCTTTGTGATTCAGTCCAAGAATGTCGCGACACTTGTCAATAATATTAATTGTTTTCGGGTGGCTTTTGTGCAGTGTAACTGCCTCCAGAACGCCTTGTGGTCATCAGAGGAAGTGTGTTCCAAATGGGCTTTGCCAAGAAGGAGACTCGAGCGAATTTAATATGTGCCAATGGACAGAAACCTGCTGCCACACATCCCAGATAGTGAGTGCCGCATCGAGTGAGGATCATTCGGCGGTCAGTGTCGGTGCTCCGCTGAACTGCGGCCAGAGTTACCCAGAAGGACTGTATGAACAGGAACAAGTGGCTGACAATCAGGCACAGCCCCACGAGTTTCCCTGGATTGTGGCGCTCTATGAACGGCGTAAGTTCTTAGGCGGCGGCTCTCTGCTCACCGAAAACTGTGTGCTGACCTCCGCTCACCTGCTGGTCAACAAAACAAGGGACTCATTGTTCGTGAAAGCTGGCGCTTGGGATTTGACGGAGACCAACAGCCGCTATGTGGAGAGAAGAAAGGTGGCGAGGATTGTACTGCATTCGGAGAGCGACTTGGCGTTGATCGTGCTGGAGGTCTCGTTTCTTGCGAAACGCCACATAGGATTCATCTGCCAGCCCAGCCCAGCCGCGACCTTTGATCATCAAAACTGCTTGGTATCCGGTTGGGGTAAACTTACCCACATGGACAGGCACCTTTCGCGCCGCCTTAAGAGAGTCGTGAACAGGGTCACTTGCCAGGCTAGACTACGGAGGACACGCCTGGGCAGGAGATTTGAGCTTCATACCAGTCTTATCTGCGCGGGCGGGGAAAGGAACAGGAATACCTGCCAGGGCTTTGGCGGATCTCCGTTGATGTGTCCCATAGCCGGGCATCCCATGCAGTATGTGCTGGTCGGCATTGTCAACAGTGGCTTGGGGTGCGGTAGCCCAAATGTACCTTCTCTTTACACGAGTGTGGCAGAGATGATGCCCTGGATACACAATTTGCTAAACGACGAAATAAATGTGCCGTACAGACCATTCCCCATTTACAAGATTGGAATAAAAAAAAAATTAGGTTAAGACTAAAATGTAAAATATGTATTTGTGAAGCTCTTTAAGCAGAGTAAGGAATGGAAAATGGAAATGGAAAATGTTAGATTAAATTTCTACAAAACGAAGCTAAACAGCTGATAAGCCTTTAAATATATAAATACATAATTATAATCCTCCTAGCTCTCCTTGTAAAAGATTATTAAGAGAATCAGTGAATTTTCCTAGCTTTATAAACGTTTATAAAATAAATATTCACGTCAAGCGAATCAACAATTTGTAAAATATAATGGAATATTTTAAAATATATAAAGTAACTGAGGTGCATTTGTAATATATTTTTTTCTGCTTGACAGAATTAAAATTCCTTACAAAACTAAAGTGATTTGCTGAGGACGTTATGAAAAAACTGCTTGCTGGGTTTCTCTGGCCATTGATCCTGTCAACCTTCATTTGGTTAGCCGTACTCGAGGTCTTAATATTCTACAAGAGCACTGCCTTTGAAGATGCCCACGAGTATGTTTTCGAGCCATACAAGGAGAATATACATGAATTTCAAGTGGGCTTACGGAGTCAGCGTTGGGACGACGATCGGATAGCGAGGCTGCTTTGGCAGCAGGTGCGCGTACATTGCCTGGTTTATCTGGATGACTCGGACTACAAGCGCGGTCCCCGGAAGTTGACCCACATCCGAGGCACTTGGGGTCGCCGCTGCAATCGCCTGACCACTATCAATCGCTGGGAGATTACGATGGCGGAGGCCTACCGCCGCATCTACAGGGAGTTTCGTCATGAGCTCGACTGGCTGCTGGTTGTCTACCTGGACTCCTTTGTGATTGTGGAGAACCTGCGTCACCTGCTGGCCCCCTATCCGCCCAATCGTGCCATCTACTTCAGTGCCCAGCATTCCTTTTTCAGCTACGCCCATGTGGGTCAGGTTCCGAGCACCGACTACATATTCAGTCGCGAGGCCCTGGAGCAGCTCTGCACCAGGGACTGCCTGCACGACGACTTTTCTTTGAAGGATTGCCTCGGGCGAATGCAGCATGGTCCCAGCGATGCCCTGCGGGCCTTCAACGTTCCGGACGTGCTGGTTCCCTTTACTATGCGCAAAGCGTTTTGGCTATGGCCTTGCGCTTTTCAATCCGTCTACGACAATCAGGTGAGCTTATACAAAAAGTATTAAATTAAATATACAAAATTATATGCAATGCAGAGCTGGACCAGCTGCTTCGGCCGTGGAGTCCTGTTCCCCTATGTTTCGACAATTCAAATGGAAATAATTGAGTTTGTGCTCTATCACCTGAGACCCTACGGTTATGCAAATCCCCTCCCGGAACTAAAGTCTTACAACATAACAGCCAGGCCACCCAACAACAGTGTGGCCCATCACTTGTTTCGGTCTGTGAGGATAGTGTGCCTGGTGCTGACCTGGCCCAAGAATTATTTGTACGGTGTAAAGGCCATCAGTGAGACCTGGGGACGTCACTGCAACCGGGTGATCTACTACAGCCAATCCAAGCTGAGCGGAGTGCAAGGAGCGGAGACCGTGGCTCTGAATGTCAGTGATGAACGCAATAAGCTTTGGGGCAAGACAAAGGCAGCCTTTAGGCATGCCTACAGGCATTATGGCCACGAGGCAGACTGGTTCTACAAGGCCGATGACGACACCTATGCCATTATGGAGAACATGCGTTATATGCTGCGTTTTCACGCTCCCGATACTCCCATTTACTTTGGATCTGCTTTCAACTTGGATTCGCAAATATATATGTCCGGAGGAGCCGGCTATGTCCTGAGCAGAAAGGCAGTGGAGCTGTTCGTTGAGGCAACAGCAGAGAAATCGCTGTGCCAGCACGGGGATATCGGTGCCGAGGACTTTGAAATGGGCAGGTGCATGGATCCACTGAATGTGACAGTCGGCGACTCCAGAGACCCATATGGACGCCATCGATTTTTCTCACTTCCTCTGGAGTATTTCCTCATACCTGAGGATGATGATAATGAATTTTGGCTTTATAAATACCTGGTCCATTCATGCAAAAAGGTGAGTGAAGGGTAATGCCGCTTAGGTCTTCAACGCCCGACACCAAAAAGTGTATATATTTTAGGTCAATATTTGCAGTCATTACTTATAGTTTCTCTTTTTTATATTTAGTTATAATACCTTAACATATCGTTAAATTTACATTCATTTTTATTAATAAATATTTTGCAGGGACTACAGTGCTGTTCAACTTATTCAATTTCGGTGCACAATGTATCGCCCTATGAAATGCACTTTCTGGAAACAGTTTTGTATGAAGCCAGGCCTTATGGACTCATTACTGGACATCCTCCTTCAAGGAGCTTGCGAAAGAATCGGTCAAGCTTGGGACAGTATGAACTCTAATGTAAAGTGGTTATATCCTTAATATATTAATTTACATACATTTATCGACTCTAGTATTTTTATTAAAGTATACCATTAATAATAACTTGGCTGTACTCTTTGGTTCTGTTTTTGGCAGTCAATAGTTAATTATTTCTCTGCTTGTGGGTTAACCTTTGACTTTGGTTTATATTTGGCTTTTGTGACATAGTTTCCAGGCGTCATTTTGTGGGTATTCATTTTACTGGGAGCAACATTCTCAAGCTTTGAACTGCGCCTAGTTTCTAAGCCATCCAGATTGGAATTCAAAAACTCCTGACTCTTGTTGATACCAAAAGATTTTAGCTTGTATATTATATAGTCCAGAATATAAAACTCCTTGGCATTGCTAGACTGAAAGGAGATGGCCGAATTTGAGAACCAGTCATTGGTGTCCTGTGCAAAAAACGTAAACATAAGCATTCGATTGTCCTAGAAACACTTTGTAGTAAGTCTTACATTTGAGGTAGTGTAGTTCCGGGAGTCATTGAACCAGTGTAGAGGTGACAAATGTGTAAAGCGGCTTAGTCCCTGCTGATCTCGGGAATCCCCGGATACCACGCCCACTGACTGCAGGCAGCGTCCCAGTTCCACTTCCTCGTATCCAATAATCAGTTTGCTGCAGATGCTGCTGTTGTCAAAGGCGAATTTCATGAACTTGTGCAGGGCAGCATTGCTCAGAACATATTCCCCTCCGCCCGACTTGTAACCCTACATACAAGACCATCATTTATTTGGTTTTATTTTAAGAGATTCCAGAGTAAGTATATACCTGCTTCACATGCTGGTTGCCAAAGTAAACTGGTGACTTTGGGCTGTGGGCATGTAGAAATGCGCGCAGGTTCTCCATTACCACAAATCTAAAATTATGGAAAGATATGTAGGATTAGATATTACTAGCTTTCATTTATTCCCACTCACGTGTCATCGTCGGCCTTTAGGAACCAATCATAGTTCTGGAAGTGGTGCTTGTACACATATTGCAGGGAGGCCCGCATTTTACTCCAGAGATTCCAGTAGCCCTCCCGCACATTGAGCGCCACGGCACCCAGCTCCTTGTCCTCTTTGGTGCTCATGAAGATCAGCTTGTGACAGCGTGTGCCCCAGGTACGTTGTATGTGAAAGGCGCGGCTTTTATGACTCTTGGGGCTGGTCAGCACCAGGCACAGTACTCGGGTCTCGTTAAAAAGGCGAGTGGCAAAAGTTACAGAGTCCTCACTGGTGTTGACAGGCGTGGTCATCGATGACGAACTCATGGGTGGAGAAGTGGGATACGAGCTGCTTATGCGACTACTAGGGAAGAGAAGACTGTTGGCACCTTCATCTATTTCCTGATTGTTTCGCAATCCTTCATGCCTGCGGGTTCTTCGTGTTAGCTCTGATAAGAGGATGCCCCAGGCGAGGCCGATGAAGACCATCAGGATGAGCTCTACGCGCTTTCGATACTGCCGCATTCCAATCATTTTGCTGGTAACTAAGCGAGTAATAAAAAACCAAGGTAAATTTACAAAAACATGGCTTTAAGCTACTATTTGAAATTGTTTAATACTTAAACTTGTTTATATAAACTACATACTAATAAGGTAAACTATAAATTTGAAAATATAAGTTTAAATACATAAGGAACTTCATATAAGAAACAGTTATAGCTGGTTTAAATAGTAAAGGTAAGGTTTATTTTGGATTTTTCCTTTAGATATTTGCCATGGAAAGCTCTTTTTCTTAGAGAAATCCGACTTTGTATATTAACTGCCTTAGCTTGCTAATGAGAAAGTCTTTATTTTAAATCACATCTGCAAAAAGAGATCAGCTTCATTTGGGAGATTCCCCATTTTTGGGAATTACGTTATAAACCTACTCGACATGTCATAGGCATTTTTTCTCAAAATTTGAATACTCGTCATATGAAACAGATTTTGTTTTGATTATTCCTCTCGCCTTCTTATGGGCCGCGTTTGTTTACCTTTTTATGCAAATCTCGTGTCGTCCGGCGGTAAGCGGCTGGTGGTTTTCGAAATACCGAGTTAACACATTCTTGAGGCAGTGACGCAGACGCGAAAGCTTGTAAAGATGCGGTTAACCTTCGGGCACACGGCTCAGGTGCGCAGGTGTGCAGGCTGGCAGGTGCGACGGGTACGGTGTATGGCAGAAATTGTTTAAGTTCACTTCAATCAGCAATTGCTCAGCAATAAACGGCAATTGCCTGGGCTCTTTGACGCTTTTTCAAGACGTTGCAATCGCCTTTGGACCGTCTCGAATCGGTGCCTTCTGTCACTTCTCCAAATCGCTTTTCACTTTATTTACCGGCAGTACTACTCGCGCAGAATTTCAAATGGAGGCCCTCGACGAAGAGGCAATAAATGCGGCGGGGGAACGCGACTTGAAGCCCCAAAACAAAAAATAAACAAAGAGCCAGGGCCAAAATGGAAAAAAAAACAAGTAAGCGACGAGCAACGGAAAAAACACAGACGTCTTCGCGCTTTGCCGGCAGTTGACAGACTTGGCTTAAATGGGCGCGTCGAATATGTTGTTGGAGAAATACCTTAACGCTTGTTCGAGAGCCATGTTGCCAGATTAATTTAATATTTAATGAAAGCCAGATTTTAGGATAGTGAATGTGGATCCTATTTAAGCCAAGTTATACATATTACCAAACTACAGATGATATAAAATACTATGAACAATACAAATTTATAATATTTATAGGACGTCTTATACCTTTTTAATGGAATACAGAATACAGAAATTGTTAGAATTTCAAAAACTATGTTTTGAAAATGTTTCAGAGTAAAGAAAAAACAAAATAATCGCTGAAATGGGTACCTCAAAAATATTGCATACTTTTAGAGGGCCTTTTAAGGGATTTCAAACAAAGGGCTATTTTTAAAAGTATGGAATAGATCCCCAAAACTTTATAATTGATTAAAAGCAATGAGCAATTTCTCGTCCACCTCCGATTAAGTTTTTATAAAAATTATGATATTTAAAAAATATATTTTTAATTTTAGATTCACAGAGGCCAAAAAATTTCCTCCACACTAAAAAACTATGTTATGTCATCAAAGCCACAATTTCTGTCCACGCTTGGAAAAGCTTTAACCTTTTCCGAGAGTTGGGAAAATAGTTAAGCCATTTTTGTTGTCAACTCGTCTTCTTCCGCAATAAAAGACTTTAACTTCTTTGAAGTTGTGAAAATGTCGATGTAAAGCTCTTAAAGAGCTTCAAATGATTTATTTCAGCCTGAAACTTGGCAACGTTATTTTTTAAAGTGTTTTTTTTTTTATTTTTTAATTAGAAAACTAGTAGTAGATGAAGCACAATGAGGGAATATACAAGCAGCACATAGCCGAGCAACAAAACTCAGGCGTAGGGTCCACCGGAGGAGTCCAATCCTCGTGGAGCGTTGGCATAGCTGTCCTCTGCGAACGTGTTGGTTACTCCTGAGCCCGAAGCCGAACTGGAGCCGGAGTCTGAGCCCGATCCAGACCTAACACCAGACCCGGAGCCAGAGTTTGACTCCAGGAAGGTGGCACCCGACGAACGAAGGATGTTCTGAGACTTGGAGCGCTCATCCAGGGCGACCAGAGGAGTGGCTTGAGCCACCTGGGCCACCGGAACAACCACAGTTTTGAGGGCGTAAGGCACTCGATTGACCACAGCATTGAAGCCGTGCACATCATCCGCCGTGTAGGTCACGGTGCGCTTGTAGCCATCGGGATCGATGAGACTGTAAAAGCCGCGGACCACATAGCCATCCCGGGTCTCGCTGTGCTCCTTGATGTCGCCGGTGGACTCGTCATTCACAGCATAGTTGAAGTTGTAGCTGGCGGGCGGAAAGACTTCCGGCTCCTGATGCTGGCGCAGCACGGGCAGCGGCGAGGGCAGCAGGACGGGAGCGGCATTGTTGTCCGCATTGGCGGCATTGACGGCACTGACGGCACTGGCTGCGTTCTGGAGAAGATTCGATGCCTGCACACTGGCGGTACGGCTGCCGGCGGCGAACTGGTTCCGGCTGGGCGTTGCATAGTCGTAACCTTCGGGTGTGGCCTCCGAGTTCAGGGCATTGTTGCTGGGCGTGTGGTAGTCGCTGAGGAAATCTTCGCCAGAACTGGACCCAGAGTGTTCCAAGGAGTTGATCGCCGTGGCTGCCTTCTCGTTGTAATTATACTCCGCTTGGACGGCAGCGAAGAGTGCCAGGGACAGCAGGAAAAACAACTGAAATTGGATGAATGAACTTGGAAATCAATCCTATAAAATCCGAGAATCCTGCCACCTCACCTTAGCTGTCATCTCTGAATAATTTGGATACTCCTTCCGTGCGAATGCCTCCACAAATTGTCGGGTAACTGTTGGCATAATTGAAGCGACTTGGAGTTTATATACCTCATCCCAATTGCAATTGGTTTATTACTCAATGAGAGACGTTATACAATGTCATGCGCCTCAATTGATCGATTTCCCATTGTGCGAAGGTATCACAATGTGTTGGCAACACTTTCATTTTCATTTTGTTACCATTTTTATGCTGCGTAAGCGCAGACGAAATTGAATGATGATAGCTATGTGTGACAATAATGTAATCAGAACTGGAGCACAACCTTGTGAACATTTTCATTATATTTTTATACAAAATTTGTATGTTTTTAGTAACAATTAACATAAGGAAAAACACAGTGCACTGCAGAAGTTATGATCCTAGTAAAATACGAAAAAAGATTGATTAATATAAATATGAATTATATATATCTATTTAAATATTGATTCTTATTCCGATGCCTTGCTGGAATATTTCCATAAAATTGTGAATCGTCCCTTTAACAATAAATCACATTCATTTATTATAAACATTAAAAATTTATTGCGTTAGAAATAATAAGGAAATAATAAGACAAGACAATATTAATGTTGACATGTTGACATAATGTTCCTAGAACAGTCGATATCTCAGTAGCAATTTCTAAATTCTCTGGAATCAGAATTCCACTTAATATTTTATAATTTATTTTGAAACTTTTTATTATTTAAATTTAAATAGAAAAATGTTGTTATTAGCTTTAGCCAGGTCATGGCAAGATCAAAGAATTACGATTAAATATTTCTTTTTAGTTACTAGTACAAGGATTCTATTCTCCCAGACTCAATATCCACATTGGATGATCCCTACTTAAATCATAATCTCAACCTGGGCAAATGGGCATCTCTAATCTCCCACCAAATCGCAACCGTTTGATGACTGTGATAAGAAAACAAAACAAACCGGTTGCTGGCTATAACTGCTTCCATGCTACTGCCTGAATTTGGCCAAAACAAAGCAATGGCCAGCTGGCGGCAATCGGGAGTCGAGCGCCGCGGAGAACACAACACAACGCGCAGCAATGTCGGCCAAGATCAAGCTGCGCTCCCAACTGCACCTTCTTACGGGCTTCATGGCGGGATTCATCTGCGCCTTCGTCCTCCTTCTGTATGTCTATGATGTGAGCCGGGTTTCGCCCTGTTGGAGCAGCTCCTCATCTTCATCATCTCCGGTGTCCATCGCCACAGACGCACTTTCTCGAGCCGAAGTACTGCCGGTAGCCAGGATACTGTGCATGGTGCTGACCTGTCCGGAAAATGTAGAGGATTTGGCCAGATCTGTCTACGAGACCTGGGGCAGACGATGCAGCCATCTCTTATTCGTCAGCAGCGAGCATTACCAACCGTTGGGCGTGGTCCAGGTGGTCGAAGCCAGTGGTGGCAGCTACGAGGATCTGTGGAACAAAACCCGTGAGGGATTCCGTCACGTTTGGGAGAACTTTGGTCAAGACTTTGATTGGTTCCTCAAGGCGGACGATGATACGTGAGTGGATCTGTAGCAGGGATGCCTCCACAGGGTCATCAAGGGACCTCCCTGATTCTGAGTCGTGCTCTTGGAACTTTCTAACTCTGCCAACTCCACAGGTATGTCGTCATGGAGAATTTGCAGCACCTGCTGAGCGGCTTCGATCCGGATACACCCGTATACTTTGGCTACAAATTGACACGCTATAATGTGGTGAGTGATAAATGTTGATCATAACTCCACATTAACTTCCTCATTTGCTTATGTTGTGGTTAATAAGTGGCATAATCGATTTCATCTGATATGCACAGAGAAAAACCAATACAAAAACTAAAGAAAAAATAATTGAAATCATACAAATTCAAACAGTGTTATAACCACGTTCTCAGTAATTAGAATGAATTATTTATTTAATTTTATACAATTTTTCTCTGTGCTTATTATTAATGCCGTAAGTGATCGACTTGTTCGTTAGTATCAGCGTCTAATTAACTGCTCATCTTCCATGCTATTGTCGCCCGCTTCTTGAAACTGATTTGAAATGCAAATTTTTCATGAAACTGAGAGTTGGATTTGAATCTTAAGCTTTGAGCAAAAAGAATTATGCCTTCGGAGCTCAGCGGGAGTTCTAAAGGCAAAAACAGTTTGTATATGTCCAATTAATGTGAGAACATAAGTTCTAGAACAATTTTAGCACATTTTTGTTAGCAAGTTAAATACTGATAAATCAATTTTAAAAAGTTAATACATAGCAAAAACGAATTTTACAATTAAGCTAAATGTCACTTTTTGATTTTAACTTGAATTTATTATTCAAACATTCCAACTTTTAGTGAAGACTTCATTTAAACGAATCTCTTTGAGCTTTCTTTTCTGTTTTTAATGTCGCTTCGATATCAATATGCGTTCTTTTTTGTCCCATTAACCGGTTCTTTTTTGTGAGTGTAGTCCCATAATAATTAACAGCGATTTATTGGGCATTGTCTGTCGGTAAACAAACATTAAATCTATTATTGGTGGAGTGATATCATAGGGGCTGGTTGTTGCATATTAGTCAAGAGTTTGACTGGCCAAACGCTTCTTGTCTTGGCCTTTTCCGCATGCATAGATCACTGGGGGGATCGGGCAACTCGACTTTAAGAAATTATATTCGCATTAACGATGCTGCAGTCTGCACAAGCTAATGGCCAGGCTTCACCTGAGGTCATCGCGGTTACCTGTCACGCATCTCTCACAGCCGCGCCTCGTCGAAGATTTATTTCGCCTTTTGACATTTCGGAACATTGTGCAAGCTTTATGTTTCTTTGGACAAAGTACACACATTTCGTCTGTCTGCATAAATATAAACAAATGAGCTACGGTGGGCTCCATATGGCGGCTTTATCTTTACGCGAATATATATAAAAATATTTCTTTGTTTCTCCTTTTGCGTCTCTCACACTTGGAAATTCGTTTATCGGGGGGTAATTATTCCTAATGCATCATAAATGTTATAATGATTTCTGATTGATTGCTGTGAATATCTCTCTGACTATGGTTTACTGGGCTTTTGTTTTGTCTTTGAGATTTTTGATATCTGCGGTATTCAGCCGATTAACATATTTGTATGCTTCCATGAATTATGCATTTCTTTTATTTTTTTTGTTGTGGGTTTTGATGGGAATTCAAGTGTTTAGTTTATGTTCATTATAAATATTTTTATTATATTTTTTATATATTACTTATTTTATTGTTTACCAGTGTATATTCTTTCAGAGAAGTTTAGTTATCCTACATAATCATAAGTCTTGAGTGACAATTCGCTAAATTTCATTATCATTTCTATTAATTTGGGGGCTTTGCTTGTTCACATTTCAACTTGATGCGTATTTTGACACTTCATTCCCTGCTGAGCGGCCTCTAACAGAGGATTAAAAACATCTTGAATTTCGGTTGTGGGTATGCTAAAAACCGAGCACCGTTACTAATGTTTGGAATATCTTGGATACCATGTGGTTTTTTCGGATCTTTAAAGTGAATATTCATGCTCAAGGTTAATGTTTTCACAAAGGGCGGGACAGGTTTGGTTAAATTAATACGGGGCGTGTGGAATATTAATCTCAATGTTTATGGAATATAGTGTCTAGGAGCTACATATTGTATTTATTAAATATGGGTATTTACTTGAATTCTCAGAGCTATATGTCTGGAGGCGCTTCTTATGTTCTGAGTCGCGAGGCTCTGAATCGATTCATGACCCAGGCCTATGAGTCTCCGGTGATATGTCCGGAGCCAAAGAAAATGGGCATTGAGGACTTTTACATGGGCATTTGTCTGCAGAATGTGGGAGTTCACTTTGTCGACTCGGCACAGTCTCTGGATGGAGATCCCAGGCCCAAGTTTATGCCATTGAATCTGGAGCACTATCTCGCGGACTCAAACTCAACAATTCCGGACTGGCTGCGCCTGATGAGTGTGTCTCGAGTTGAAACCGTAAGTTTGGATATATCATTTTTCTCAGGAGTCTAAATATTAAATATTTTCTAATATCCCTTTTAGGGTTTGCAATGTTGCTCCAATTACTCAGTGGCTTTTCACTATGCCAGCCGCGAACGCATGTTCCTATACGAGTTTCTAATCTATTATCTCCGGGTTTTTGATCATAACTCGAGGGCGGAAAGAAACCAGAGATATCTGCTAACTTCAACTGATTTGAACAGCCGATTTCCACTGGAAGATAATTTGAATATAAAAGACTTGATACAAATGTCTGAGAAGCCGGAGAATTTCTAGACATTGTCGTGTATACTACTTATTTATGCCATTATTAGTTTAAGCATGCGATGTGATTTTAATTTAATTAAATAGGAAGCGAGTTACCGGTTTTAGATTCGTAAAGGTTCTATCGACTTTATTATGTGGGTTCGTTGTTTATGTTGCTTTATGTTGACACGAGACAAGATCGCTGGGAAATCAGTAACTGAAATTGTGAAATTTTAAAATCATAGGCTTTTATTATAATTGAAGAATAGGTTTTTCCATTTCTATTATTCTTTAATTTTTAATATTAATTGTATGCATCTATGTATGTGTTTGTATAAACCAAAATTGGTTACTTTTTATTTTACACGAATTTTACACATAGTTGTTAGCATACTTATGGGCATTTTTAAGAAAATATATGATAATATTGGCCTTAAGATCTGTCGAATGGTTAATAACATTCTATTAACAACATTTTATATTTCAGATAAAACTTTTATTGTACGAAATTTGTTAAATGTTTAGTTAATTGCCAGAAAGGATATATTGTTTTTAGTAAATGAAAAGAAGGGAGAAAGAAAACTTTTATTTGTTATAAAAAAAAATATATATATATTTAACAAAGTATAAGTAGGAAGGTTTGCATTGAAGTTAAAATTAATAGTAACAATAACTTTGACATATATACTATAACTTGAGTATATATCTTAAGGTATTTTATATGTTGGATCATAATTTCTTGACATATTCTCCTAAACTGGTATTAATTTTTTTTTTATTTTATTTTAAATATAATAAAGTTACCTTGCTAACTCTGCAGTTATTTAATTAACGCTTTGCGAGACTACACAGAGTCCGCCGAAAGGCTGAAGCTCTGCAATCGAATAGTGCTTGGTAATCCTTCAGCGGCGGCATTCTTGCTTGAAGGGCCAGCCGACTAAACTGCATCGGACTGTTTAAGCTTTTCATTACCAAAGTCAATGCCTCTGTCTCACCTTAATGCCGCCTCACCTGGCTCAGTTTAGCCGCAGGTTTCAGCTGTTTCGTTGCCGAGCCAGAGTCGGTTAATTAATTCCAAAATCACGTACGCATGCTCAGTGTGTGTCAGTTGGCATTTTGCCATTTTGCCCCCTTTCCTCTCCGAGATCCGGAGTTTGAAATGCCTTTGGAGATTGAGATGTTTCGCGAGACTCTTTATGGTAAAATTGCATTACAAATATCATAGATGGCACAATAAATTGGTTGCCTTAGTGCTAGAAGCTAGTGAAAGGGAACTGAGAGCTTTATACTTTGATTTGTTGCTGCTGCTACTGCTGCTTCGCACTTACATTGTATCGCTGCTGGCCCGCTTAAAGTTAGGCATGAGCTCAGTGTGTTAATGGGTTAATACAAGCACTTGAACATAAAAGCCAAGCTCATGCAGGCCAGCACGTCTATTGAGGAAGCGAGTTCTCCGCCACTTGTTCAAACAGGGCGCTTAGCCGGTGCTGGGAGTGGGCCACGAGTGCACCTTGGAACTGCACTCGAGTGCCGTGCTATGGATATGGGATGGGTTCGGACTAGGAGTCGGCGTCTCGGTCTCATTTGGGCTTTAATCGCTTGTACTTGTGCGGAATGACTGTGGGAAATAGTTCGTTTGAGAGTCATTTACTTAGATTTATATGGAATTTGTGTAATTTAACCATTTTTATAATTATCAGCACAGTTTGTTTAAAGACTTTGTGTATAACTTAAAATAAAAACAAGAAAGGAAGCTAACTTCGGCACGCCGAAGTTTGTATACCCTTGCAGATATTATTTCATTACATTTCAACTATACTTATAATGTTTACAGTTTGACAGTTACAGTTTTACATTCACACCTTTACATTTTCTCTACATCTACCGATCGCTCCTATGGCCGCTATATGATATAGTTGTCCGATTTTCATGAAATGTATACCAAAATTCTACAATAATAAAATAAGCTTATATCTCAGAGTAGATGAAAATACGTTGAAAAACAACGAAGTTATAATTTGTTTCCTATTAATTTCCCGATCGTTTCTATGGCAGCTATAAGATATAGTCGTCCGATTTTCATAAAATTTTTACCAAAATTCAGAAATAATATAGAATGGCCATATCTAAAAAATGGTGCAAAAATGTTAAAAAACAGCAAAGTTATAATTTTTTTTCGAAAAATTTATCGAACATTTGTATGGCAGCTATATGATATAGTCGTCCGATCCGGCCCGTTCCGACATATATAGCAGTGAGAGTATATAGAAGACTATATGCAAAGTTTCATTCAGATAGCTTTAAAACTGAGGGACTAGTTTGCGTAGAAACAGACAGACGGACAGACGGACAGACGGACAGATGGACAGACGGACAGACGGACATGGCTATATCGACTCGGCTGTTGATGCTGATCAAGAATATATATACTTTATAGGGTCGGAAACGTCTGCTTCACTGCGTTGCAAACTTCTGACTGAAATTATAATACCCTGCAAGGGTATAACAAAGAACTGAGGTGTTTCGGCCAATTCCAGAAACCTTACACGGAAGTCAATGGCATTCTAATGTGTAATATTAAACTATTAAACTCAAATTCGATTTCTAAACAATCCCTTAATTACCTCTTAAGTGTTCCTTCGCTTCGATTCAATCGAATCTAATCAAAGAATCCAATTAGTGGCAAATCCGCGTAATTTATGAGGCCTACCAACTCCGGAGCTAAAACTATTTACTAACAAGCTAAAGCTAACACGGCTACCAAATGCAGCTACCTGCTAGTTAATTCAGTTTACTTATTTGCCCAAGCTCAGTGTTTCTCCATTCCAAATCGGCCGTCACACAGTGCGTATGCTTAATGCGTTTTGCCTTAACTTTGACTTACTCTCCGCGTTGTCGGTTTCAATGGCGCGTGTTCCATTTTGTGGGCCGACACTAGCTACACAAACTACACACTAGAGATTGGCTGTTGTTGCTGCTCTTGTTATTGTCACCTGTCCGATTATTATTATTATTTTTATGCGCTGAATTTTTTCTTTGAAATGTGCGTTGTCGCTGTCTGGCCACATTGCGTGACCTTCGGATCGAACGCTCTCGATTTGCAAGCCATTAAATTTGATATTATCTGGGACTGAAATTGAAATTGTATCGAAAATCCGAGCCATACGAAATCAATTACTCAGCTATGCGTAGCCGTGTCTTACTTATAAATCGTCGTTGGCCCCATGGCTTTTGGTGTTTCTTTGCAGTGAAAGTTGTTAAGCCATCAAACATTATTGTTGTTAAATTTTATTTCGCTGAGCCAGACAAATTAATTATTAATGTGGATCAAATATTTTCAGTTCATTTCACATAAATACTGAAATTATTTCTCATTTTTTTCTACCCTTCACTTTTTGCGGCCAAGGAATGCTGTGTATTTTTTGTTGCCAACCACTTTTTGTGTTCTGTGTGCGTAGATGGTTGTAGAGCTGGGAGCTGGGAGCTGGAGCTGGGGACTCAAGAGCTTGTTTAGAACACGTAATTGTTGTTGACGCCGAAAGTGTTTTGGGCTTGGTGGCCACAAGAAACCTTTAGAGGGTGCTCGAAAAATCGGGTCTGGACTCAAGTTGGATGGGCACGCTTAATTGTTGTCTATTTTTGGGTATACCAAAAATTCCTGGCTGTGAAAAATGGCTAGTAATTAAAAAGTTTCAAAGAATCAAACCGAAAATGCCAGCATCTCTGCTATTATTCCAAATTAATGCATGTTAAGTGGTTAATTGTCATCGCGGAATTCCATAAACAGCTCACAGCCGCAGATACTAATCGAGTGAACTTAGTCAACTTCAAATTGTCCGCCTAGAAGGCCCCATCGTGGAGTAAAAAATCATTTACAAGTTGCCTCATTGCACGCACAGATAAATCAAGAATCGACGACAATCGGCGGCACATAAAAATTAATTAATTTAATTACTTATCTAACTGAATTGCTTTGGAGCTTCGAGTGCCCAACTTATGCTTGTGTGTTTTCAATACTTTTTCTTCACCTGTTTTAATGACAATTGCACATGAACATTGCCAGCGTACTATGTACATTTTTTTTTGTTTTTTCTTGAGATTCATTTAGAGTGCACTTCAAAGTTAGCATTTATATTTTTTACGCTTTTCAATGCGTGTCAAAAGTTGGCTGCAAACGTTCTCTTACACTAATAAATATTTATAGATGAGCCCGTTCTGCCAGATGCCTGCCTGCACTCGTTAAGCCCGGCTCGGATCGAAGATACTAAGAATTTTAATTGATTTTAATGTGCACAGCTGCACTATGGAGACTGACTATTGACTGACATCCAAACAAAGATCGAAGAGGCTAGTACGGGGTCAGCAAGGGGCGAAAAAGAGGTAAGTGAGCTGTTGACATACTCATTGCAGAATTGACATAAAATATTGTCTCTGTACAATGGCTAATGTTTCACAAATTAATCATTAACAATAGCTTGTTTTGGTATACAATAGGACTTTTGTTTTGTGTGTTTAAAAAACGAAAAAATATATATTATAAATATATTCCTTAACAGCCTGGAAGGTGATATACCCGATACGTAAAGCATTGTGAAATACATTTATGAATAAATGAATAGAAATGTTGCTGGGAACATATCAGCAAAATCCATATATTATGCAATTATTTTCTAAACATAAAATTTTTTACTTTAAATTAAAATTCACCTTATAGTTTAGATACGGAATTTTATGATTTGTGGGGATGGAAATGGGCGTTGTTGCATTTCTAGCTCTTGCGGTCTTTAAGATCTGAAAAAACTCAGCTGATGATGTTGATCAAGAATCTATAGACCTTATGGGGTCGGAAGATGCCTCTTTCTGTCTGGTACAAAGCGATATTACTCTTGTAACCTATGAGTACCCTGTTTAAGAACTATAAATCATTTAAGTTATCTATTAGTACTCTCATATAGTAATTAAGAAGACTGGTTTATGTTCTGTCAGTTAAATACAAATGAGCCTACAAATGAAGCATAATTAGTATAGCT